AAAGAGAGCAAGAGGAGAAGAAGAAAGGAACAAAGGAATTACAAAATAGTCAGAAAACAATAAAATGGCAACAGTAAGTCCATACGTATAAATAATTATTTTTTTATTCTTTTTTTGGGGAAAAGATTGGCACCTGAGCTAACATGTTACCAATCTTCTTTTTTTTCCCCTCTCTTTTTATCACCAAAGCCCCCCAGTACGTAGTTGTATATTCTAGTTGCAGGTCCTTCTAGCTCTGCTATGTGGGATGCCACCTCTGCATGGCGTGATAAGCAGTGCTAAGATCTGTGCCCAGGATCCGCATCAGTGAAATCCTGGGCCACCGAAGCAGAGCACATGAACTTAACCACTTGGCCATGGGGCCAGCCCCTCAATAATTACTTTAAATGTAAATGGACTCAATTCTCCAATAAAAAGACACAGCATGGCTAAATGGATTTAAAAAAAAAAGGGACCACAAGGGCATTATGCTAAGTGAAGTCAGTCAGACACAGAAAGACACAATACTGAATTATCTCACTTCTATGTGGAATATAAAAAAAAGAAAGCCAGGGGCTGGCCCTGTGGCCGAGTGGTTAAGTTCACGCACTCTGCTTTGGTGGCCCAGGGTTTCGCTGGTTCGGATCCTGGGCACGGACATGGCACCACTCGTCAGGCCATGCTGAGGTGGTGTCCCACATGCCACAACTAGAAGGACCTGCAACTAAAAAAAAAAACATACAACTATGCACTGGGAGCATTTGGGAAGAAAAAATCAGAAAATAAAAAAAAAAGACTGCCAACAGTTCTTAGCTAAGGTGCCAATCTTAAAAAAGAAAGCCAAACTCAGAAAAAAAAGATCAGATTTGTGGTTAGCAGAGGCAGGGGATGAGGGATGGGGGAACTGGATGAAGGTGGTCAAATGGTACAAATTTCCAGTTATAAGGTAAGTACTGGGGATGTAATGTATAACATGAATGAGTACAGTTAACACTGCTGGCGCAAGCCCTGATGGCCTACTGGTTAAAGTTTGGTGTGCTCTGTGTCAGGGGCCTGGGTTTGGTTTTGGGGACGGAACTACACCATTCATCTGTCAGTTGCCATGCTGTGGTGATGGCTCAAACAGAAGAACAAGAAGAACTTACAACTATACACAACTATGTACTGGGGCTTTGCAGGGGGAAAAGGAAGGAAAAAAAGGAGGAAGACTGGCAACAGATGTTAGCTTAGGGCAAATCTTCCCCTGCAAAAACAAAACAAACGAACAAAAACACTGCTGTATGGTACATCTGAAAGTTAAGAGTAGATCCTGAGCTCTCCTCACAAGGAAAAAGAATTTTTTTTCTTTTTTGTATCTGTATGAGATAACAGATGTTAACTAAACTTGGCAATCATTTCACAATACATGTAAGTCAAGTCATTATGCTGTACACCTTAAACTTATACAGTGCTGTATGCCAATTCTATCTCAATAAAACTGAAAAACAAAACAAAAAAAATAAGAAAGATCTTAAAAAACAACCTAACTTTACAGCTCAAGTAACTAGAAAAACAAGAAACAAACGAGGCCAAAAGTTAGTAGAAGGATGGAAATAACAATGACCAGAGCAGAAATAAATGAAATAGAGACTAAAAACACAATAGAAAAGATCAATGAAACTAAGAGCTGGGTTTTTTTGAAAAGATAAGCAAAACAGACAAACCTTTAGCTAGACTTACCAAGAAAAAAAAAGAGGATTCAAATAAAATTAGAAATGAAAGAAGAGACATTACAACTGATAGCATGGAAACACAAGGGATCATAAAAAACTACTAGGAACAACTCTACACCAACAAATTGGACAACCTAGAAGAAATGGATAAATTTCTAGAAACATACTACCTACCAAAACTGAATTATGAATAAATAGAAAATATGAACAGACCAATTACAAGTAAGGAGATTAAATCAGTAATCAAATACCTCCCAGCAAACAAAAGTCCAGGATGAGATGGCTTCACTGGTGAATTCTACCAAACATTTAAAGAAGAATTAATACCAATCCCTTCTCAAGCTCTTCCAAAAAGTAGAAGAGGAGGGAACACATCCAAATTCATTTTATAAGGCCAGCATTACCCTGATACCAAAACCAGACAAGATACCACAAGAACATTAAAAGCCAATATCCCTGATGAACATAGATGCAAAAATCCTCAACAAAATATTAGCAAATGAATTCAACAGTACATTAAAATGATCATACAGCATGATCCAGTGGGATTTATTCCAGGGATGCAAGGATGGTGCAACACCCACAAATCAATGTGATACACCACATTAACAAAACAAAGGACAAAAATCATGAGATTATCTCAATAGATGCAGAAAAAGCATCTGAAAAATTCAACATCCAGTCATGATAAAAACTCCCAACAAACTGAGTATAAAGGAAATGTACCTCAACATAATAAAGACCATATATGACAAGCCCACAGCTAATTTTATACTCAACAGTGAAAAGCTGAAATTGGTTCCTCTAAGATCAGGCGCAAGACAAAGGCACCTGCTCTTGCCACTTTTATTCAACATAGTACTGGAAGCCCCAGACAGTGTAATTAGGTAAGAAAAAGAAATAAAAGGCATCCAAATTGGAAAGGAAATAGTAAAACTCTCTATTTGCAGATGATGTGATATTCTATGTAGAACACCCTAAAGACGCCACCAAAAAACTGTTGGAACTAACAAACGAATTCAGTAAAGTTGTAAGATACAAAGTCAATATATAAAAATCAGTTGTGTTTCTATACACTAATAACGATCTATCAGAAAGAGAAACTAAGAAAACAATTCCATTTACAACTGCTTCAAAAAGAATGATATATCTAAGAATACATTTAACCAAGGAGGTGAAAGACCTGTATACTGAAAGCTTTAAGATATTGAAAGAAATTGAAGATGACACAAATAAATGGGAAGATATTCTGTGCTCATGGAATAAAAGAACTGATATTGCTAAAATATCCATGCTACCCAAAACAATCTACAAACTCAATGCAATCCTTATCAAAATCCCAACAGTATTTTTCACAGAAATAGAATAAACAATTGTAAAATTCTTATGAAACCACAAAATACTCCAAACAGTCAAAACAATCTGGAGTGAAAGAAGAACAAAGCTGGGAAGGGATCACACTTCCTGATTTCAAACTCTTATTACAAAGCTACAGTAATCAGAACAGTATGGTACTGGCATAAAAACAGACACATAGACCAATGGAACAGAACAGAGCCCAAAAATAAACCCACACATATATGGCCAATTAATTTATAACAAAGGAGCCAGGAATATACAATGGGGAAAGACCAGTCTCTTCAGCAAATGGTTTTGAGAAAACTGGACCACTATCTTACACCATTCACAAAATAAACTCAAAATTGATTAAAGACTTTAATGTTAAGACCTGAAACCATAAAACTCCTAGAAGAAAAAGATAAGGGGTAAGCTCGCTGACATCAGTCTTGACAATATTTTGGGTCTGACACCAAAAGCAAAAGTAAATAAGTGGGACTATATCAAACTAATAAGCTTTTGCACAGCAAAGGAAACCATCAACAAAATAAAGAGGCAACCAACCAAATGAGAGAAAATATTTGCAAAGCAGATATCTACGCAGTTAATATCCAAAATATATAAAGAACTCATACAAGCAATAGCAAAAAAATAATTCGATTAAAAAATGCACAGAGGAACTGAACAGACATTTTTCTAAAGAAGACATACAAAGGGTCAACAGGTACACAAAAAGGTGCTTAACATCACTAATCATCAGGGAAATGCAAATCAAAACCACAATTAGACATCAACTCACACCTGTCAGAATGGTTATTATCAAAAAGACGAGATAACAAATGTTGGAGAGGATGTAGAGAAAAGGGAACCTTTGTGTACTTTTGGTGGGAATGTAAATTGATGCAGTCACTATGGAAAACAGTATGGAGGTTCCTCAAAAAATTAAAAAGAGAACTACCATATGACCCAGCAATTCCACTTCTGGATATATATCCAGAAGAGAAATGAAATTACTACCTCAAAAAGATATCTGCACTGCCATTCTCACCACAGCATTATTTACAATAGCCAAGATACAGAAACAATCCGTGTCCATCAATGGGTGAATAGATAAGGAAAATGTAGTGTATATATACACGATGGAATATTATTCAGCCATAAAAAAAGAAGGGAATCCTGCCATTTGTGACAACATGGATGGGCATTATGCTAAGTAAAATAAGTCAGACAGAGAAAGACAAATACTGTATGATCTCACTTTCATGTAGAATCTAAAAAAACAAACTCATAAATACAGAGAACAGACTGGTGGTTGCCAGAGGTGGAAGGGGGCGGGGTAAAAGGTGGGTGAAATGTATGAAGGTGGTTGAAACGTACAAGCTATACGTTGTATCCTATACAACTTATAAGACAAATAAGTTCTAGGGATCTAATGTACAGCATGGTGACTACAGTTAGCAACTTTCAGATACGCGATACAGTATTGTTAAGAGATTAGATCTTAAAAGTTATCATCACAAGAAAAAAATTTATAATAACTATGTGAAGTGATAGATATTAACTAAACTTGTGGTAATCATTTTGCAATATGTACATATATCAAATCATTATACTGTACACCTTAAACGAATACAATGTTCTATGTTAATTATATCTCAATAAAACTGGAAAAAAGCAGGGATAAGAAAAAAAAACTTTGAGAGTAGTTTCTTTGAGGGAGGGAAAAACAATGGACTGTGGGGAGGACAGAGGGGATTTCAACTCTTATTTCTCAAACCCAAGAGGTATAAAGCAAATGTAACTTAACATCTGTCACTTCTAGATGGTGAAGATACAGGTATTTGTTACTATTTTTGATCCTTTTATATATTTTGAAATACTGAAAACGAGAAAGCCAGTCACTATAAACAGACGGAAGTGCCTAAGTGGTTCCCTGAGATGTCCTCATCGTGGCCTCTCTGGGATAAGTACCTGGCCTTCGCTTCTTCGGCCCACACTCCATAATGCTGTCACTGTGCTGAGACAGTGTCTCATCATTTCCACTCTCCACCTCTTCATTTCCAATATTCTCTTCTTCATAGTCAGTCTTTTCTTTAATTCGATCACCCAGGGCACTTTTTAACATCTGTCAAGAAAATTTTTTTCCACATCTTTCATTGATTTCAGCAGAATGCAAGTTGGAAGGAGTAGACAGATAGAACCTTTAAAAAGCTTCCTCTGATAATTAGGCACTAAGTTTCCAGATGCTTATGCATGTTTAGTTTCTAAAGGGTGTATATCAGTGCTATGGACTATTCAGTTTCAATAAACTTTAGAGTAAGTCACATAGGAATTTAATACATTTATTCAATGACACCCCCAAACTGTAATATTGTATTTTGTGAGAATCAGAGGTCCATCTAATTTTATACCAAATCTATCTTTAGTAACAAAGAGAAACTATATAGATGTATCTAAAGATAAATGGTTTAATGTAATCATTTATGCTAAATGATTTAGTTTTCATCAGAATTCAATAAAAACTTGGATAAATCTGTACCAAATTTGTTCATATCATTAAAGGCTAGGAGATCATTTCTGACCCTATGTCCTACCTGCTTGACTTATGGAATATTTTCACAGTAATTAAGACACAACTAGTTTTCCAGTACCTTAGCTTTCAACTGGAGGATCACTTAAATGCTCACCTATGACGGTAACCTCAATTTAAATAAAAAACAAGACTTGCCCAATCTAGTTCAGATAGCCGCTGAGACAGTTTCTCTGAGACAGCATGTAATTCTTGTTCTGTTAACCTCTTTCCTGGCCTCTGGGAGAAAGGTGAATCCCAGGAGGAGCCTGCAGCTCTGTTTTCAGATCTGTAATAAAAGTGACCATTTAAGCAGCCAAGAGTGCATTACTTAGTTCAAAATAACTGTAATATGTGCTTTAACAAATATTTCATACTCGTCTTCACAGCTAAGTTTGGAGAGTATACCCCTTACTCTTCAACTCCCTTTGCAAACAGACTGCAAACGTTGAAGCATGCAGCAACATTACCTTTTTCCTTTGGGAAGCTTCCTTGTCCTAGGGCCTTGGACCTGAGCTGGACACATTTCCTGTTTGCTATCTTTAGGCAACTTGGAAGTTAAGAAAATTCTACTATCTGGTTCCTATTAAAAACAGAAGAGAGTTGATTTGAAAAACTACAAAGGAGACACGTAAAAATAAGAACATTTCGGGTGTGAGAGGAATAGAGGGCCTGTGGCACAAAACTAGGTTCCTTTATTCTCTCTCTCTTGCTTTTTTAAAAACACATTTGTCAAAACACTCTATTAATCCCCAATGCCAAAGAAATGAAACAATGTCTATAAACTTGTACTTGGAGAAAAAAAAAATGTGCCTTACGATGCCATTCAAATATAAAGGCAGGTGAGATATTCTCAAATAGAAAAATTCAGAGGTTATGACTACACTTGGACATTGAAAAAATGATATCATAACTGAAAAGTATTAAAGTCACTATCTTTCATATCAAGAAGTCAATAGAAACTCCAAAATTGAAACAGTTAAAGAGAAAACCTCCCAAAATATGAGTAAAAACTCAACATTGTTAATAATTTAATTCTTAACCTTAGAGGGAATCTTATAGAAAATATTTCTTGAGGTGAAGAAACACTTGATGCTTAAGAATCTCTTCAATTTCACTTCAGTATCTTTTTTTCCTACTAAACTGAAATTAAATTTAATACTTTTTAGTAAATAACTATAATATAATCACATTTTTAAAAACTTTTTTATTGAAGTTCAAGTGTCCTGCTCAAGAATTATTCCAAAAGGAACATTCCCACTTAACTGCCATTCAGGTCAAGAAACAAAACATCACCAGCAACTCAGAAGCCCTTTCAACATCTCCCACTAAGCTTCCTCCAAATTAACCATTATCTTATGAACCCTTTTCTCTCTCTTTTTCTCCATGCACACTCCTATCTGAATAGATGCACAGAATGATAGTCACCGAATGCTAATGATGCTTACGTCATCTTTGTACTTTCTCTGCATTGTTTGAATTTTCAATAATGAGAATGTATCATTGTTTATAAATGAACCCTTTGAACACAACTGCCTGTTCTTGTTTCTAGGAAGATAGGGACAGGACGACTGTATAAAAAGGGATTTTTTCCAAAGAAAGAAGTGGAAGCAAATAGGCCAATATATTAATAGTAGTTGATGCTGGATAATAGGAATATGGATGAAAGGTTATTTTTCACACTTTCTTATATTTTTAAAATTTTAAATTATTTCATTAGGGATATAAAATACGGCTTCTGATGCTAGAATGCCTGAATTCAAATCCTGACCACAACTGCTGTGTGACCTCAGACAAGATACTTAACCTTTGCATATCAGCTTCCCCATGGGAAATACAAATAGTACCTACTCCAGAGCTGTTGTGATGAGTAAATTATTCAATACCTGTCAAGTACCCAGAACTATGCCTGGCACAAAATAAACACTCAATATGTGTTGGCTCTTACTCCCTTTTCATACATTTATCCTGTCCCTATCTTCCTAGAGTAAGAACATGCAGGTGTATGCAGAGGTAAATTTTAAGTAGTACAGTGCTCTGATTAGTGCAGTGTCCTTGTCTACTATTCTAGCAGAGACCTCTTTAAATCTATAGACTTCTATTCAATTGAAAGCAAGCTTTTCCACCTACCACAGAAAATGCCATGCCCTCTCCAGTAGAATTCATGGCAGGGGAGCAGTGACTTGAACGCAAGTATTCTTTTCCTATGGGGCAAGGTGCTCGAGGTTCTGAAGGGTGGTAGGGTGGATGTAAAGGAATAGCTGATTGGATAGGCTCGCCTAGCTTCCTAGCACTTGCAATCATATCCACAGAAGCAATTTCCGCTAGTTGGACAAATTAAAGTCAGCATTAAGACGAAACTCTAAGAAAAAAATCATTTTACATATACATAGCAATATAAATATGTTCATACACACTACTTAGAAATATTATTTTAAACTTGATTTTAAAAAAAGCACACAGAAAAACAATTAAATCAGGGACTCATCCTCAGCAAACTAGTGGGGACCTAATTAAATCAGGAAGAACATAATTTTAATTTTATCATAAAAATGTTCCGTGAAAAGTTATTTAAAAATAATAAAAAATGACTAAAAACCTAAATGGCTATATAAGTTATAGTTCATCCACATGTTATAAAGCTAGTTACCCATTAACAATGATTTTATATAATATTAACCATATGAAAACCCCAGAGATGATAATTTTCAAATTACTATATTTTGTCATTCACTAATAATGTGAAGACCACCAACCGACAGACTAAGGTATCAGAGACTTTTATTTTCCTAAAGTCTTTGAGAGGAGAGGACTTACATAATAAAATAGTGGATGCAAAGCATGTGACCAAAGACCATCTTTAGAAGAAATCAGAGCTCATCATTAATAGCAAACATTTACAAATAAGATCACATGAAACTGAAAAGAATTACATAAAGTGTAGAGCAACAAAAGTAAAAAGGCAATTGTCCCAGGAACCAACTACTGTCTCCAACTCATAGCAATAGTCTCAAGAACTAATAACACATTACTACTCACTGTCTTCAACAAAGGATGTCCTACTCTTGGACAAAAAACTAGATGAGGGAGGGTTCAACACTTCCTCGTGTGATTTAGAACATGGTACAGTTGAGGCTTTTTTAGAATGCATTTCATTAGGACCTTGGGTACCTAGAAAAGAAAATATTAAAGGTAAAATTTTTTTATTGCTGAATGTTATACTAGAAGCCAAGAGTTTCATATCCAGAGGATAAATATCTCAGGAATGACATAATCATAGAACTATGTCGGTCTGATTGCTCAAAAGACCAATTACTTTAATAAGTATCAGATAGCAAGATGTAGTTCTGTAGCCCAGAAGCATTTATACAACTTAAAGCAAAGTATTACACAATGTTTTATTACTTTAGAAAAACAGGGCCAGCCCAGTGGTGCAGCAGTTAGGTTTGCACGTTCCGCTTCAGCTGCCCAGGGTTCGCCGGTTCAGATCCCGGGTGCAGACATGGCACTGCTTGGTACGCCATGCTGTGGTAGGCATCCCACATATAAAGTAGAGGAAGATGGGCAGGATGTTAGCTCAGGGCCAGTCTTCCTCAGCAAAAAGAGGAGGATTGGCAGTAGTCAGCTCAGGGCTAATCTTCCTCAACAAAAAAAGAAAAGAAAAACAGGTGCCAGAGTTTAGAAACACTGACTGTTATACAGGTATATCTCTGAGCTAGGGATGTTGGCTGGATGTTGATACAAAGATTTATAGTCAAACAAATTGTTTTATTTGTCTAATGTTTGTATGCTTAATATTTGAACCAGCTTTATGATGTTATTACATAGAAAGCTATATTAAAATACTTTTTTGTGCTCTCCTTTTCCACAATCCAGTGCAATATGGTCATTTGCACATCAAAATGTTTTAAACATGCAAATCTCTCTCCATAACTTCGTATTTCACATAAATACCATCTCCCTAAGATCTAATGTTCAAAATTCATAACTTGTTCCACCTGATACTGATACCTGATATTGAATTTGTCATCAGTTTGACCCCAAGCTAATTCATTTTCACCTGGGTCCATTTTTCTCTTGGGTTTCTTGAATGACCATCTCATGCTTTCTTTTTGATGGAATTTCTCCTAAAATCTTGTGCTTGGTTAACATCTGGAACTTTTACTTTGTCGGACTGAAAGTCACACACTCAAATATCTCTCTACAATCTTTAGATTGTTTTAGGACGTACTGTTTTATTCTTGCAAAGACCCTGAACTTCTCTAAGCATTAACAATATTTCAATTATATAAGGATCTACATAATAAATGCATAACATTTACCAAAAAAAATAAGTGAAGGTGGTCAAAAGGTACAAACTTCCAGTTATAAAATAAATGTCATAGGAATGTATAGTATGATGACTACAGTTAATAATACTGTACTGTATATTTGAAAGCTGCTAAGTTAGTAGATCTTAAAAGTTCTCATCACAAGAAAAAAAAACGTTAACTATGTGTGGTGACGCTATGGTGATCATTTTGCAATATATACAAATATGGAATCACTAGGTTGTACACCTGAAACTAATATAATGTTATATGTCAATTATATCTCAAAAAAAAGATTTACAGTTCAGGGATTGAACACTAAATTACATGCCTATGAATGTGTATGATGACAGTTATCTGATGACTTAAATCCAAATATAAAAGGAAGTTACTATAAGCCCTTTATGACATCAAACCTTAGCCTGGCTTTTTTCTCAACCTTTTTTCCTTTGCCTTAATGCATTACAATCTGAATAGGTAAAATCTGAAAACAAGTAATTCACTTTTTACAGATGCAACCTTTCCACATAGCACTTGGTATAACAGAACACCATTTCTAAAATCACCACCGCTTCTATCTTCTGTCAATCCATCTGACTCTCTTCCTTCAAGAAACACTCTTGTATTACCTACACTTGACCCTGGTCATTCCATTACTTTGCCCATCCCAGTGGCAAGTACATGTCTTTGGTCTACTGTCTAACCTTCCAGACTTAGGTTCTTTGAACATAATTCCTTGGAATGCAGTGACTATTCCTTGGAATCAGAGCATTAATGCTGAAACACATTTCAGAGTTGGTTTAGTCAAATTCTCTAAATTCACACTTGAAGAAACTAGAGCTCAGAGAAGATAAAGGCCTTGTCCAAAGTTACACAGCCAGTGGCAGAGTCTGGATGAGAATGCAGGCCACCTGATTCCCAATTTAATATACCTAATTCCACTCTGGTATTCCTGTTCTTCCACTCAAAAAGAAAAAATTCTCATTGTGGGCCTAGTGTTTTCCTAAGTTTTGGAATACAAAGCGGAGTATGGATAATTTTACTATATATTTTGCTTGTCTTATTTATTGGCTCCTTCCACAAATAGAATGTAAGCTCTGTGAAGGAAGGGATTTGTACCTGTTTTGTTTACCACTATTCTCACCACTGCCTGGCACAGGGAAAACACTAGATAAATGTTTGCTGAAAGAGTATTATTGGCTACTGTCCCTGGAGCTCAGTTTCAATAATAGACAAAGTTTCTATGCAATGTGAGAATGGTGTCACTGAAATAAGGTGAGAAGGCCACCCTGCAGGAACAAAGAGCCTCAGAGTCTGACACGGGGGCAGCTAGGGTTTGTAGAGTGAGTGTGCCAGAGAGAAAGGAAGGAGAAGCATCTCAGCAGAAGAAACAATATGATGCCAGAGAAGGGCATGGCAACCAAGGTGGGTAGGACAGCAGTGGGATGGTTGGAGGAAGGCAAGGTGGGAGGCTCAAAATGGGCCTGATATTCACGTTTACTGTGTATAAGCAGTAGACTTGGAAATGTAGCCTGAAGCCTGGGAGAAAAATTGCCACTGGATGTACAGACTTGTTGGTTGAAACCACGAAACACGTGGGTCACCCAGTTAAGGAAACTACACTTAAGGGATATTCGGAGTGTGACTAGACTGTTAAGTCTACACAAGTCCCACATAATACATAACCAACTTGCATCCACCCATTTGACTTGCATGCACTCCCACTTGACTGATTTCCGGTAACTGTTCATATTTAGCGGGTAATGGTGGTACTCTGAAACGTCGCTTCTGATGTCCAGTTAGGGCTCTATTCTCAACTTTAAACACTCCTAGGTATAACTATTTACATTTTAATAGTTGTGTTGAATAACAATAACTGATATTTAAAGTTTACTCACCATTACTCCTTAGAGAAAAGGTGTGTGCTGTGTCTCCGAGTCTAATTATTTCACCAGTGGATTCTGCTTCATCTCCATCCCAAGAGGGACCCAACACCTCAGACGACAAGGAGCACCTGAAAGAGTTCCCTCATTTACTCAGGGCCCGGCCTGACCACAAAGGGCCCTTCCCATGAACATCCCAAGAGCTGCTTCAAGCAGCCTGCCTGTGGATGTTTACATTGCTCATTCCTATGCACAGAAAAAGGAAAAGACACTCCCCTCTGCTGCTTATCACTTCTTGCTGCTTATCTGTTTTGACTGACATATGTACGGTGGAAACAGCTGTGTATAAAGTGTCAAGGATTAAATGTATAGAAGAACACACACAGAAAACAATAAAACTACTTACTCTAGGGGTGTGGGAATAGAGGGCAAGATGGGTAAGGCATTAATTTTACATTAAATATCCTTGTATTGTTTCACTTTTGCACTTTTGTTATCTTTTTAAAAACCTAATAATGAAAAGTCAAGAAATTCATTTTATGAGCCAGCCCTGATGGCGTAGCTGTTAAAGTTTGGCATGCTCCGCTTCGGTAGCCTGGGTTTGGTTGCCAGGCGCAGAACCACACCACTTGTCTGTCAGTAGCCACTGTGGCACCGGCTCACTTAGAAGAACCAGAAGAACTTACAACTATACACGACTATGTACTAGGACTTTGCTGGGGGAAAAAAGAAGAAAAAAGAGGAAGATTGGCAACAGATGTTAGCTTAGGGCAAATCTTCCCCTGCAAAAAAACCAAAAACAAAAAAATAATAGCTAAAAAAAAAAGAAATTCATCTTATGATAGTCTCCTTTAAGATACGTTTTCCACAATGTACTATACCTAGACAAGAAGGCACTGCTGTGCTTTTCAAACCAAACTCCATAAAAAAACCTGAGAATCAAATCTTTAAAAGAAAGTCATAACATCACATTCAATCTCTAGTTAGCAGAAGTATAATCAAACCTATAATGACATCATATTTTGTCTAGGAAAACTCTGATCTTGGTCATTAATATTGGTTCATGAGGGTGCAGTAACTCAGCACTTTTATACTGTTGGTGGGTGTATAAACAGTCACGGCCTTTTTGGAAAGCAATTTGGCAACTTTCAATAGCCTTATAACATTCATACTCTTTGATTTTGAATGTAGCTTAGAGATATGAGGGAGGGGGAGAAAGAATAAACAAAGGTATGTATCACTTTTTTTAAAAAATAGTACAAAAAAGAGAGGAACCACTACCTCTACTTTACAGGAATGGTTTAGTAAATTATGATGCACCCATATGAATGGTACGTTACACAGTGATTAAAAATTACTATAAAAAGTTTAAGAACTTGGGAAAAGACAATGTGTTAAATTTTAATATGCAGGAAACAAAATTATATAGATAATATAACTAAATCCAAATGAGAAAAAACATAGTAAAAAAGACTAAAGTACAACAAAATGTTAACAAGCAGTTATTTAGTTCTGAATGGCAGATTTCATCTTTTTTTTCCTGCTTTTTTATTTCTCTGTACTTTCCAAGTTTTCTGCAAGGAACGTAAACTACTTTAATGATCAAGGGAAATATTAAAAAATAAGTAGGTGGTTAATGCTGAGAATTAAGTGTTATATATAGTTCAAAGTTCTTGAAACTCCTCTAAGAGGTTCAAAATATGTTAAGTTGGTTAAATTTTCACATTAGCTTGGGGTTTTCTTTGGGGTTTTGCTGCCATTCTGGTATATTGTGTGCAATTTTAATTCTTAGTAGAAAGAAAAGCATAACTCGTTTTGATTAAATTCACCGACACTGAGTGCTACCTCCCAAAAGAAACTCTTTTCCATGATGATTTGGATTCTTTAGTACTTTCTGGCTCTTCCAAAGGTTCTCCTCGATGGGATTCTTTAAAACATTGTCCTGTTTCATCTGTTTAGAATAGATAAAAACAACAACAACAAAACCCAAACTTAATACTACTATTTCTTTTTTTGGGGGGGGGGGGTTCAGAATGTGTCATTTAAAACCAGCCCCTTGCCATGACTGGCTAGGACATCAGCATCTCCTCCCAGCTAGGCCGTGTCCCCCGTCACTTTGCAGGCAGGTCAGCCTCTGAGACAGCTGGGGGCCACTGGCTGTGGGCTCTGAGTGCTGCCCCTGCCCCGGCAAAGCCTTAGGCAGCTCGGTGCTCTCTCCACCTCCCAGAAGAGACCAACAGTTAATACTACTATTTCTATACAGGGGGATGGTAGAGGTAAGGACTGTGAGACACCCTCAACCCCTCGTGGTAAACTGGATTCTTGTGAATGTGAAACTAGAAAGAACCAAATCACCACGTGTAATAAGCATGTTTTACTTGGGTAGTAAAGAAACAACACAAGTGTTGCTTTAAAAGTAGGGTCTACAGTTGTATCAGCAATGTTTTATTTTTTAATAAAGGTGGTAAGTTCATTTGTTATTCTTTATACCTCTCTATCTGTAAGGAACGTCTGAAGCAAGATGACTAGGGTGTGGCTTCAGAAAAATATGACTGTGTCAGTCTACCTCAAGCTCCAAGACAATCACGCCCTAGCCTAATTAAGAGTTAGACCACATCGAGGCTTGGATGAAATTTTCCTTAGGACTATCAACCTTTCCCTACCCTAACATACCTGAGGAATACACTTTCACCAATGGCAGTAACCGCCTAGGAGAGTGATTTCAGGAGGTATGTAGGTGAAACCTCCTATGATTCCGATCTATACCTCTAGATATTCCAATCCCCATTTCTAGAGATTCCCTGTTCGAACATCCAGTCATGTTTTTCTATTTCTGTATTCAGCAAGCAATATTTTAATAACATCAGTTAACATTCACTGTGCATTTACTCTGAGCTGGGCTTGTTGCTAAACTATTTATGCATGTCTACTTAATCTTCACCACGGCCATGAAAGACTTTCAGATGAGAAACCTGAGGCTCAGAGAGCTTCAGTCACAGAGTGAGGGGCAGAACTTAGCATTGAGCCCACGGTCTGCCTTCAAGTCCCTTGCTTTTCAGTGGTAAATGATAACGCTAGCTCAGGTATCAGCAAGAAGCTGGTCTGTACACCTGACGTGACTAGAGATGATAAAGATTTATTTCTTATTATTAATTGACATTTGAAGAATCTGATCAGCTCTAGGTAATAGCGCCATATAAACTTGGACCTGCAAAGGTGAGAATCAGACTTTAGAAAACACTGCCCAACTAAAGTGCCACCACATACAGGAGGCCCCATCTGAACATCTCCCTCCTAGCAGCACTAAGCTCACCACATGCTACTGACCTCCCCTGGGAAGATCCCCCGCTCAGCATTTCACTATTAGCGGACTCATACATAAGTATGTCTCAGTTCTGTCTTCCTTTCTCCATCCTCACTGCCGTATCCGCAGCCAGACCACTATCATCCCTCCCCTACCTGCAATCCAGCACTACATTGTAAAAACAGCTGCTGTCATTATAACACTTCAAATTAATCAATCTCTTTAGTTAAAAGTAGTTTTCTACCTCTTAATCTTGCTGCTAAAATGACTAAAAAGCCACAGAGTATCAAAATACCTACTGGCAGCCTTGAATTAGGTGAGTCTCACAAGTCATTCACTCTCCCTAATTCTCCTATAATGTTCTTACTGTATATCCATTCTTAAACAGGTCATATATTATTCCAACCATGACATACAGCATTATTTACTTAACTAATCTGATATTGTTAAGACATATAGGTTTTTTTTTTGCAATGATAAATAACATTACAATGAAGACTTTCAAGTGCTTAACTTTCTTTTGTATTATTTCCCTAGAAATGAGATTTATTGAGCCAAAGTTTATAAATAGCTCTTACACACTGCTGATCCAGTTTAAACAATCATAACCTTCTTGGAAAACAATATGGCAATATTGATCTTTATAATAATTATCATTAAAAAACATAAAACCAAAATTTCACACAATAAATTGTTATAGTTTGGGGACTGGGTTACTCAAAGAGTAAAATAAAAAATATTCATGCTGTCACAAACCTAAGTGTATGTTGAAGACAGAAACTCATCAATTCTTCCTGCTGATGCCTCAGCAACATTCAAATTTATAAAAAAAAGTCAGTTCTGACATAGGCAATTTTGGAGTAAGGAATTTCATTCAATAATAGGAAAGTAAGTAATTTTATCCAGAATCTAGCTTTCTACTAGAGATTAGCTTTAAATTTATAAGCAGCATCCAAGTTGACAAAAGAAATGACAAAAGTCTAGGATAGAGTTTTCAACCATTTGGAACAGTAAGAATTGAAACAATTTACACTTAAATTTATCAGATTTACTGTACTGGTGATTCTAATCCCTATGAAGAAAATTAGGCAGAAAGAGAAAAGGCAAAAAGGGACATGACAAAGAATATAAACCACACCAAATTCTATTCTTAAACTTACTTTTCTCATGAGATGTTTCACTGAGGTGTTCTGTGAGATAATCCAGCAACCCATCAAATATTTCTAGGAGATTCTTAATAGATTCCTTATCTCCTTTCACTATATTTTCTCCTGAACACAGAATACAGAGCTATTAAAAAATTTAACCAAGAAATTGAAAGCCTCATAATTTTGAAATGGATATACCACTGTGAAAACAGTGTTCAAGATACAAGGATTATAAACTAACCCAGGAGAAACAATGATATTATAAATATTAAAAACATCAATTTTGTCATGCCTGATTATATCTGAAGAGACACAGTGGATAGTCTGAATATGGTATTTGAGAATTCACTGGCATCTTCCTTCCTTTATCAAGAAGCAAAATAAGTGGACTTAAGAAAACATCCTAAGATTTATACCAAGATATAAAGCAGCTAAGTACAACTTTATTAGGCTGATAAAAAAAATGGCAGGAGAGAATACTGTTTCAGATGATAGTGGTTTGTTCTGAAGATGATAGCAGTCGAGTAACAGAAAAACAAAACAAACTTGTTGGGCTATGTTCATCAGGAATTCCTGATTTTTTCCATTTGTTAATTTGTACTCACCTTGCATAGATCATACCGTTTTTTTTTTAATTAAAAATCATCCATGGCTCACTGCATATAAAACCCTTTTTAATCTCACCTCACCCTCAACTTCTCCAGCCTCATCTCCCACCACATCCACTTTATACAGAGAAGTTAATCTTTAAACAGTCCCTAGCATAATACCTGGCATAGATTTTTAATAATGTAAAAACAGATTTTTAATAAATGTTAAGTTGAAATATTGACAAGAAATGGGCTGGCAAAAGCATGGAAACTTGACATATTTAATGTCACCTAAAATGGACTCCAATCAACATCAGGTATGGACAGATCTTAACTCTTGAGACACTAGGGGTGTCCTCGGGGAGATCACACCTGGCAGTTCAAAAGTTCAAACCAGTATAGGAGAGGCAGAGTAGAAATTGATATTTGAGAGAAACTAGTCATTTGTAACTTCAGTCATGATGCAAAATAAACCTAAACCAGAAATTTGATGTTTTACAATACTACTAGTAAGATGGACAATGTTTGACAGTTCTTTTCTCTTTAAAACAACTAAACAGAAACCTTGTTTTTAAGCCCTTCGTCTTTCTGGCTTAACAAGGTACACAAGTATACCCCAAGGGCATATTCAAGACTTCTCAGTTTCCAGGATGGGGAGCATAATCTGGAACCCAGCAACTAAGACTGCCCGCCAGAATGCAGTGCTTCACGGGGTAGGAGAAACTACGTTAAACAGAACACAAGGAGGAAAACACTGCTTTGCAGTCTACTGGAGGAGGTAAGCAATTTTGTAACTTTTCATGGGGTGGGTGTGAGTTGTCAGGGGCAGCTCTGTATTTAAAAGTTCTATAAACAGAAACACCTGCTTATAGAAATCCTGGGATTATCCCTCAAAACGCAGTATCTCCAAACTGATTTACCACATTTACTCACCTAGAACTGCACTCAAAAACTTAAGACAAGTATTTTTGAAAAAATTTGTTCCTCTCAATATCAAATTAAGAGATGTAAATGACCTACCCTGATTAACTTTTATCTCCATCACTGTCAAAGAATAAATCAACAGTATAAACCTTCTCTTAATGATTTAAGTATAGTTTCAAGTCCCCAAGATTCCCTCTGTTTGTTAGCTTGAAGAATTTACTGGAACAATCCTCATTTACTATCAACAAATACAGAGACTTATAAATATATTTGGTACGTTTGACTTTAGAATACAAGCATGGTACACTTTGTTGTGGGAAAATATTACAAACAATTTACAGTTTTATTTATTTTGAATAGGTAACATATTCACATGGTTCAAAATTCAAAAAGTGCAGGGGTGAGCCCAGTGGCGTAGTGGTTAAGTTCACGCACTCAGCTCCAGTGGCCCAGGGTTCGTGGGTTCAGATCCCAGGCTCCGACCTAGCACTGCTCATCAAGCCACGCTGTGGCATCCCCATAAAAGAGAGGAAGATTGGCACAGATGTTAGTTCAGCGACAATCTTCCTCAAGCAAAAAGAGGAAGATTGGCAACAGATGTTAGCTCAGGGCCACTCTTCCTCAAAAAATAGATATATAAATAAATTCAAAAAGTGCAAAAGGTATACATCTGTCTCATCTGACCCTTGTTCTACAGCCCTGAAGTTCCCCTTATTGAGAACAATCAGTATTACAGGTTTCTTGCATATGCTTCTAAAAAGTTCTTCTGTATGCAATCAGCTGTATATATATTCTCCCTACCTTTGTTTTTACAAATAGTAGCATACTCTGCACATTATCATTGTAACCTGCACCACATTTTTCTCACACAATATATATATTGGAGACTGTTCTACTAATATGAAACATTGTACCTAAGGAGCATCATCAATCATCTTTCACAGCTGCAGAGTAAGTTCCCTGTATGGAGTTATCATAATTTATTTAACCTGTCCCTAATAATGAACATTTAGCTGTTTCTAATTTTTAGCTACTACGAACAAGCAGCATGGTAGCTTTAAAATAAAAAAGAACAACAACAAAACATATCTCAAACTACCAGCTAGGATACTTTCATCTCAGACCCAGATCTATCACAAACTCAATGTTTGACTCTTCTGGAAAAGCTCCCAAGGATGGCTGCCTTAGCTACACCAATCAGTTGTCTTGGCTCAGTCTTGCCAGTTGGTCTATTTCATAAGCTTACTCATCTGTTAATTAAACAATGTCTAGGGCTCTACCTAACAAATTATTTTAGTAAAATGCAAAATTATCTGATGGCTAAGTATATACCAACCTGTTATGTGAGACAAGCTGACCTGCAGGTAATCCAAGGCCAGCGAATCAATTACTGCTTGTACATTGTGAGCTTCATCCTCTTGACTCCTGGGAATAGCTATGAGGTCTGTGGAAAAAAAGCTACATAACTTTGCATCTATGAGGGACCAAGTTTTCACCTATCTGTTTCTGACCAGGCTTCTGAGTAAGTTCAACTGCTACAAAAGTAAGCTCTGCCCAAACAGAACAGGCTTTAAAGTACACATAAAGTGAACAGAACCTGAATTCCACACAGTAGAATCTTTTTTTTTGGTTGAATATATATTGACTGAATATGGCTGAATCGTTATTCAAGCATCATATATATGAACATGCTCTACAATAAGCACCATGCTAAAGGAAGATAAAGAGGTCCCTAAATTCAAGGAGATGCTAATACTCTAATAAGGCGGACAATACATGTGGTGACACTTTAGCCCATAACCGTTGGCTGCTTTCCATGAGAGAAAAAAACCCACAACAGGTACGAAAGTAGAGTTCTTGTATGTCCTGTTAAAGCAGCCTACTGGGAATCACTGTATAAAGGTTCAACAGGTCAGTATAGACCAGAGTGCAGAAAGATATTAACATCAACTTAAATTTGGAGTTTCTCCCCTGGTTTTGAGAAAGATGAACATTTTGGGGTAGGATGAAAAATATTTTAAAAGACTAGTCTAATAACTACATGCCTCTGAACTCTTAAGATGGTTGAGACTAGCATGAAAGATACCAGCTAGAGGCCATCCCATTATTCCAGGAAGTGATGAGGGCACTGACTCATGGTAACAGTGGGAAAGGAAGGGAGACTACACAGAGCTTACAGCACTTAATGGTTACAAACTATATAAAGAAACAGAGACAATAGAGGAATTTATGGATAAGGAGTCTGAGATATTTAGGGTAACAAACACCAATTCTTATCTATAACATTGGTTAAGTAACAGGACCCAACAAGTTTCCAAGTTCCAGTCAATTTTAGAAACTTTGAAGGTACATTTACAGAAAAGGTACGACTTTCACAAGGCATTAGGCATGATTAAACAGTGATGACCAAGGCTGTTATTATGGGTGAGTGTCGTAAGGTATTCAGTAAGGTAATGAACACAACATTTAGATAAAAATAAGAGGTAGACTAACAGAAAACTCAAGATTTTATAAATACCACAGGATCTAACTAAAGGCACTAGAAACTTCTGGCCTAAGATATAGATGATATTACTCCCACTTTTCAGTACCCTTACCTGGCACCTTTTCTCCCAAAATGGATTGATAAAAAGCAATAAAAACATTAGCATCACAATCTTCTAGTTCGTGTATCCTCAGGTGTATGTGACATTTCAAAAGAAGGTTATTGGCAACAGTTACCCACTCTGTTGGGAAAGAGAAAAGATCAGCCTTAAACACCACTAGAAAAAGTCATACACATACATTTAAAAAAAACAAGCCCCACAACAACAGACATTGAACTCTGTGGAAGATAAGGAATTTGATTGTTATAGAATTTCAAAGACCCTCCTAGGCACGATTTTTGAAAAGATGTATTTAATTTCTTGGGACGATTCTCAGAGTGCCATAGTTTCAGTGTAGTCAAAACTATAATGCAAATCCACTTTCCACTGTTGTAACCGAAAATCTTGTCATTTACCGTAGTTATTTTATAAGCCATACATAGATGTTTCCATTTAAAACATATTTACAAGTAAATGGGAATATTGTCATAAACAAGACAGTTAATGATAATCTGAGATTACTAGAAACTAATTAATGGATGTTACTTCAAATTCCCAATAACATTAGTCATGTTTTTACCCAATTATCTTGTGCAAGTCAGAATTTCTCTGGTCCCCAAATAGGCGCTGTTAAGAAGTGGAGTAATGACACCAACACTACTGCACTTGTTAGTTTTAAAAATTATATTTGATGTATATGAACGAAAATGTGAGAAAAACATAAAAAGTCCCTACATTCAGAACTAGCACATTACCAACAATGTTGAATTTTCCTGTGTACCACCTCACCCCCCAGATACTGTTGGGATTAGACAAGTTATTTCAAGGGTTTCTCGACCAAAGGTAATTTAGAAAGCTTGAAACATTTGTTTGCTGAAATGATTGGTGATTAAGGGGAAAGTTCTTTTATTCCGTACTCAATATCTTCAGTATGTTCTAGAAATAAATGTGTGTATGTATATTTAAGGCACATTATCTCTTTCTCCCCAGAAACAATGTATGTATGTATACGTGTGTGTCTTCAAGGCACATTATCCCCCTCTCCCCATGGCCATTTCTGGTTGCTGACCAAACCAAGACAAGTGGTTTGAACGCTGTCCCGGGAAAAGGATGAAAGCGTCCTAGACAACCAAGTCAACCCGCGTTTCAAAACCCAGTGCTAGACAAAGCCGGTAACTCTAGAGGGCAGTGATTACAAAACCACACACTATTCTACTTTGGTGGGGGCATCCACACCTCTTAAGAGCGCCATTCCTCAAAAGCTCAATACAGATGCAGGTACGGCCTCGGTCCCCACAATGCAAGAGCAGAGAGCACACTGACAGGGGCTCGATTCCGGGGAAGAGACTGTCTGACGGCCCTTTCTGCAGCCAGAATGCGTGCATGCTACGGTCCTCGCCGCAGGGCCCTTCTCTCCCCCACCCCAAAATCGCGCTCGGCGGCGAAGAGACCCTACGCACGGACACCGCCGTCCTCGACGGGGTGTCTGTCATGAGCCCCGCCAGCAGGCCAGTCCTAGTTGAGGCCGGCTCGAGACCTCAAGATAAAATGGGCAGGGAAGTTCGGGGACTTGGACGAGGACAGTCCACACACACCGCTTCTACAGGCCGAGACTCACCAGCCTCTGACCGGGCCATGTCCTGGAGGCAGGTCGCCACCGTACTCCTAGCCGGGCGCGCGGTGGACGGTGTCCTGCAAGGGCCGCACGGCGCAGACACCGCGCTGAAAGCAGGAGGAACGAAGCGAAAGCGCAGGGAAAGAGGAGTGAAGGAGGGAGGGACGTTAAGCCGGCCTCTCGCTGCTGATTGGTCATCGAAGGAGCACTTCCTTTCGCAGCACGCGCCCAGACGGCGGTTTGCGGACTCTAGATACCATTCTCCGCGACAAGAGCCCGCTAAGGGATTCTCAGGTGGGCGGGTTTGACAGCTCGGGTCACCCGGCAGCCCTGGCCGGTCTCCCCGGGGCATTAGCACGGCACTTCCGGTGAGCTATTTCATTTTGTATTCCTCCGCCGACGCCAACTGGGGAAGTAGTGCGGTCCGCTCACCCGGTGGGAGGGGTCAGCCACGCGACAATGCCAGGCTCCGCCTTCCCGTCTCCTCGTTTGGTTATGGGCGTGAGGGCTCTTTGGAGACGTAAATATTTCCAAGTGGGCTGGCCATTTTATCCCTTGGGCTGGACCAGGAAAAGGGCAGGGTGGCTGCCTTGAGGTGCGGACAGACAAGAAAAAGATGCAGTCAAGAGAGTGCGGGCTAAGGCCTCCCAGTGGTGGGTGGGCCCAGCCATAAAACGGGCGAAAAACGGGCGCCTCTGAGGGAGGGGCCCAGGGGAGGAGCGAGAACATGGCGGATTCCGGAACGCGGGCGGTCGTTGCGGCCTCTGCGCAGGGGCGGGGTGATTAGGTCATAGAGCGGCTCCCAGCATTCTCTGCGGCGGGGGAGGCGGTCCAGGCTATAAAACCGGCTGCCGGGACGCGGCCGGCACCTCATTCATTTCCACCGGTTTCTTGCCGAGCAGCCCAGGCGCCTGTCATCGCCGTTTCTCCGCCGCTGTCGCCCCCGCAAGGCTTCGCCGTCGCCGAAGCCAGCTCCAGCGACTTGTCGCACCCGTTTCTCTCCACTTCGTTCCCCGCCAACCGCAACCATTGACGCCATGTCGGGTTATTCGAGTGACCGAGACCGCGGCCGGGATCGAGGGTGAGTGTGGGACCTGACCTGTCAGGCCCGGCGGGTGGGGGATGGGAGGCCGGCGAGGGTGGCGGCGGGTAGGGGGCGGGGGTGGGAACTATTTCCCAGCCCATCCTTGGGTTTTCTCAATCGAAGGTTTGCGCCATTTTGACTTTTGTCCAAAACTGACCAGAAGTGCCTGTTAACGGCCGTCGGGCTCTTCTTTTGTTTGCGAGGGGGCATCAGGGCCTCGGCGATTTAGCCGCTTTCGGGAGAATTCGGAGGATCGTATTTCGAGGGGAGGCAGGCGCGACGCTTCGAGGCGGTCGAAGTCGCCGCTGTTAGGTGTAAGCTTTCGGGAGGTGTTTGAGGGGCCCCCGGGATTCGGCGGGAGCCCAGGGGGCCGCCTCCGAAGCATTGGATGCGGCGGGGGCAGGAGGGTGGCCGGCGCCGCGGGAATCGGCCATGTGGCTGAGCCGCGGGTACAAAATGCCGGCGTCGGACATGGCGGCGGCGCCTTTGTTACCCCGCCCGGCGGAGGAGCTCAAAATGGCAGCGTCGAGAAAATGTGGCGCAGAGAGAAATGCGAGACAAAGGGGGAAGCGCCGCCCCAGCGGGATCGCCGCCCGGCCGACTCCGCCCGGCCCGGGACTCCTCCCCTGGTAGTCGCCAGCTCCTCCTTCTCTTTTTCTGGCGTTATATAATTTTGCTACCGTGCTCCGGAGGCCCTCCCCGGGATCCCCCGGCTCGATTAGCTTGTTTAAGTGTCCCCGAGACCACCCTCCTTGTTCTGCTGTGACTGCCTGTGCTGTCCCGTTATCCGTTTAAAACCAAAGCTCCTTTGCTTGAAACAGCTGATAAATAACATCGCTGTTAAGCTCCTCCTTTCTTGTATTGTTCCTCTCCCAGATATTTAATTCCCAAGCTCGTGGGAAAGACTAGTAGCCGCGAGCTGTTGTCTGTCCTTGTAATCTGAACAACTGGCGTTTGGGCAGCCCATTTCCGACCTGATAAATCCCGGCCTGTTGACTTGGCTTCAGGAGCGTGTACTTGGGACCACGGGAAATGAAAGAGGCACGATGCTGATTGTGGCTTTTGAGAGAATGACCATCACTAAGGGCAGTGCTAAGTCACATACATCCAAAAGTCATTCATCGAGCTTTAGTGTGTGCCAGGGGATGTTAAGTCTATGCATAAACTTCTATGTAGATGTTTGAAAATACAACTGTTTTTTACATTTCAGGTTTGGTGCACCTCGATTTGGAGGAAGTAGGGCAGGGCCCCTATCTGGAAAGAAGTTTGGAAACCCTGGGGAGAAACTAGTTAAAAAGAAGTGGAACCTTGATGAGCTGCCCAAATTTGAGAAGAATTTTTATCAAGAACACCCTGATTTGGCTAGGCGCACAGCAGTGAGTAATTTCATGTGGCTTCATCAGGCTATAACTCAGTAATGACTTGAAGTAAATGAACATTTGACCAGAAGGTTTCACAAATGACCAAGTTGTGGGAAAGTCATGCTTTTTGACTTCATATAGTTGGGGAAGAGGTGTTACTCTTTTGGAAACAGGTGGCTTTGAGTTTTTCTACTTAGAATAGTTGAGTGTAACACGATAGGGGGTTCTTGGGCTGTATACGGTTTTCATATGTGGATCTGGATTTTAAATGGCAACAAAGTAGCTAATGAATTATAAATTTAGGAGTCTACTGGTTGAATTTTTAATTAGGGTAGGTTGTCATGATACTTAATAGATTATTGTAACTTGTTTTGTAGCAAGAGGTGGAGACATACAGAAGAAGCAAGGAAATTACAGTTAGAGGTCACAACTGCCCAAAGCCAGTTCTGAATTTTTATGAAGCAAACTTCCCTGGTAAGTGCTACTTTTGTTTCTCCTCTCTCTCTTTTTTTATTCCTCACTTTCTGTTGGCATTACTAATTTTTACTAAATTGTTGCTAATTACAGCAAACGTTATGGATGTGATTGCAAGGCAGAACTTTACTGAACCCACTGCTATTCAAGCTCAGGGATGGCCAGTAGCTCTAAGTGGATTGGATATGGTTGGAGTAGCACAAACTGGATCTGGAAAAACATTGTCTGTAAGTTTGGGAGAACTTTTGAGTTAACTCTGTTATGTGCTGGAGAAAATGGATTGGGCATAAAAAGAAACCAGAAGTATATTAATATTGCCTTTGTTGTTTGCTCCCCCCTAAATAGTATTTGCTGCCTGCCATTGTCCACATCAATCATCAGCCATTCTTAGAGAGAGGTGATGGGCCAATTGTAAGTATATATGTAATTTTTCTTGATTTTTGGCTGGAAGTGTAATTTAGAGATTTGTAAGTGTAATTTAGAGATTTGTAGATTCTATAGCAAAAGATGTAGTTTGTGGTGATTTTGTGGAGAGACACTAGTTATTTTACTCAATTTGACTAGAGACAAAGCTGCTTTGGGTATTGGACAGCAAAATAATATGCCGGCGTGAACTAATGTATTAGCAGTTTAAAACTGGGATCCAGATCTCTGCTAAAAGCTCCTCTGCTTTCTGTTCCTCTTTTCTTAGTGCTTGGTGCTGGCACCAACCCGGGAACTGGCCCAACAGGTACAGCAAGTAGCTGCTGAATACTGTAGAGCATGTCGCTTGAAGTCCACTTGCATCTATGGTGGTGCTCCCAAGGGACCACAGATACGTGATTTGGAGAGAGGCATGTAACAAAAAAGGTTCTGTTTGTGACTGATGGTGCTAAAAGTTTTGGATGTTTTAGTTAATTTGTATGTTTAATTGAAGGTGTGGAGATCTGTATTGCAACACCTGGAAGACTGATTGACTTTTTAGAGTGTGGGAAAACCAATCTGAGAAGAACCACCTACCTTGTCCTTGATGAAGCAGATAGAATGCTTGATATGGGCTTTGAACCCCAAATAAGGAAGATTGTGGATCAAATAAGAGTAAGTGCCCTTAAGTACGTTCTTTCTTCAAGCTTAGCTCTCAATTCCTTCTTAGAATACAGTACTTTTATTTTTTTATCCAAAATTTTTTAGCCTGATAGGCAGACCCTAATGTGGAGTGCAACTTGGCCTAAAGAAGTAAGACAGCTTGCTGAAGATTTCCTGAAAGACTACATTCATATAAACATTGGTGCACTGGAACTGAGCGCAAACCACAACATTCTTCAGATTGTGGATGTGTGTCATGATGTAGAAAAGGATGAAAAGTAAGTTTTTTATTAAATCTTAAGTACAAAAACAATTTTGCTATACAAATTGGGGAGGCACTGCTTCTTGGGTTATCTTAAAAGTGACTTTCAGTTGGGTGGAACCTGAATACGTTCTTGAAAATTACTGTCAATTCTTCTGAAACTTGTCTTGGAAGACAATTGGTTATCACCGTATTTATAGCATTCCTATGAGAAAAGGAACTTGTGTCCTGTGGTTTATTTAAGAGCCAAGGGTAAGAATTGCTTGGTAAACGGTTAAGCAGGTATTTCCTTTTTGACTTACAAACACATAATTTGAATTTAGTGTTTCACTGACCATAAATGCACGGCCATAACCATGGACTTCTTTTAAAATACATAATGTTTTTTCATTCTTTCAAGACTTATTCGTCTAATGGAAGAGATCATGAGTGAGAAGGAGAATAAAACCATTGTTTTTGTTGAAACCAAAAGACGATGTGATGAACTTACTAGAAAAATGAGGAGAGATGGGTATGTAGACTTCCCCCATTGAAGCACATGCATTAGAGCTGAGTTTAGAGGAAGGAAAAACTAAGATCAGGAGTAATGGATTTGAGTTGCATGGGTAGAAATCACCTGATAGTATAAGTAAACTTGTTACATAGATTATTTCAGGAGAAATCAAAGGGATCTGTGACCAAAAATGGTTAAGCACCAGACTAAAGTCTATCAAATTTTAAGTGTGAGCTTACTAATAGAATTTTTTTGTAATTTAGGTGGCCCGCCATGGGTATCCATGGTGACAAAAGTCAACAGGAACGTGACTGGGTTCTAAATGGTAAGCATTTCAAATGGAGAGTCCCCCGCACACCCCCACCCCAAAGCCTAGAATTTCACTCACTTTGGTGATGACATATACGCCCTCTTTTGCAGAGTTCAAACATGGAAAAGCTCCTATTCTGATTGCTACAGATGTGGCCTCCAGAGGGCTAGGTTAGTACAAACTCGAATTCATGGCTTGGTTTCCCAGAAGATCTCCATATAATTTTTTTAAAGAAAGTTTATTGCTTTCTTTAACCTCTGCATTTTTTCTAAGTTTTTTTCATATAAAGGTGCAGTCTTTGTGGCAAGGCCTAGGCATGACAATCGGAGGACTCGAGGGGGATGGAGGACTAGTGATCGGCTGGCTGCTTCCAGTCGAGTAGAGAGGTGAAAAGCTGAAAGTGTGCCAGTAATCTTCAAAAGGCAGAACATACCACCCTCTGCCCCGTAAACTGTTCTCTCCGGGGGAAAAAAATGGAAGTTACCCTCACAGTTCACTGCCGTGGTATTCCTTCTGTCCCATGCTTTGCATGACTGCCATGGTACAGCATTGTTTCAAACTGTTGACTGTGATCTGTGGGTCTTTGAGTTTCAGTGAGTTTGCTGAAATGTCGAAGAAATATTTCCAAACTTCAATGTTCAATGAAATTTTTGTTCAAGTTTGAAATGGAGAGAGCAGCTTTAAAAGGTACTAAGCCTTTTACAAATTGGTGAGTACTGGCACATGAGATCTAGAGCCAGGAGCAACTTCTCACACTTAGTCAGTGGGAAAAGAAAGCAGTGCTTTGAAAGTTCCTCCCTCACCTACACAGTAGTCGTCATGTCGAGACCTGCCAGAGAGAGACACATTTTCAAGTGAATCCTGGCTTCTTGGAAGCGCTTGCCTAGACGAGACACAGTGCATAAAAACAACTTTTGGGGGACAGGTATGTTTTTCTTGCAGCTGCGGTTGTAAGGTCTTGGCAAGACAAGCAGTGTGGCCAGAATTTTGAACTTCTGATGAGTGTGTAATGCAAAGGACCGTGTACATTTTTGTTTAAAGGTCCTCAAAATGAGCACATGAAGAGGTTGCTGTGAACCTTTAAGTGGCCCTACTGCGCAGAAGCATTCAGATGTCACTTGATGATCTGTAAGGGGACTTGCTGATTGGGGAATCTGTTAGGGAATACACATCTCTTTGATATCAGGCCCTGTCACTGGGTGGGTAATGAGACATAGGGATGACTTGTGCTATTTTTTTTTTTACCCCACCCCCCCCACCTCCCCTTTCTTTCAACCTCAATGGTATTCCTACAGGGAATGGATAACCATTTTAACTGTATTTTTTGCAGCCCGTACCTTCTTGGGAATACAATTGTCTAACTTTTTATTTTTGGTCTGGCTGTTGTGGTGTGCAAAACTCCGTACATTGCTATTTTGCCACACTGCAACACCTTACAGATGTGGAAGATGTGAAATTTGTCATCAATTATGACTACCCTAACTCCTCAGAGGATTATATTCATCGAATTGGAAGAACTGCTCGCAGTACCAAAACAGGCACAGCATACACTTTCTTTACACCTAATAACATAAAGCAAGTGAGCGACCTTATCTCTGTGCTTCGTGAAGCTAATCAAGCAATTAATCCCAAGTTGCTTCAGTTGGTCGAAGACAGAGGTTCAGGTAAGATCAGCCTTCAAGAAGAAATGTCAGTGGTTTGGGGTCACATAATGGTCTACAAATCCATTTAGATAGGATTGGCACGTGAGTAAAATCTTCACTGTGAAGCTAAGTTGAGAAAACATGTATGTTGAATAGAGCTACCTGATTCCTGTTGTATTTGTAATGAATTGTGCCATAGAAATAATCAGTTTGCAATTTTCTTTTTTCTTGACAGGTCGTTCCAGGGGTAGAGGCGGCATGAAGGATGACCGTCGGGACAGATATTCTGCAGGCAAAAGGGGTGGATTTAATACCTTTAGAGACAGGGAAAATTATGACAGAGGTTACTCTAGTCTGCTTAAGAGAGATTTTGGGGCAAAAACTCAGAATGGTGTTTACAGTGCTGCAAATTACGCCAATGGGAGCTTTGGAAGTAATTTTGTGTCTGCTGGTATACAGACCAGTTTTAGGACTGGTAACCCGACAGGGACTTACCAGAACGGTTATGATAGTACTCAGCAATATGGAAGTAATGTTCCAAATATGCACAATGGTATGAACCAACAGGCATATGCATATCCTGCTACTGCAGCTGCACCTATGATTGGTTATCCAATGCCAACAGGATATTCTCAATAAGACTTTAGAAGTATATGTAAATGTCTGTTTTTCATAATTGCTCTTTATATTGTGTGTTATCAGACAAGATAGTTATTTAAGAAACATGGGAAATGCAGAAATGACTGCAGTGCAGCAGTAATTATGGTGCACTTTTTCGCTATTTAAGTTGAATATTTCTCTACATTCCTGAAACAATTTTTAGGTTTTTTTTGTACTAGAAAATGCAGGCAGTGTTTTCACAAAAGTAAATGTACAGTGATTTGAAATACAATAAATGAAGGCAGTGCATGGCCTTCCAATAAAAAATATTTGAAGACTGAATTAAGTGGAAATTGTACTTTATTTTACTTACATAATGTCATGTAAAAGTTTGCTTAGATGGTCTGTTTTTTTAATTATAAAAACTAAATTGCTCCTTTCCATAATTTAGTTTTGGGAAGTGGGGAGATCAGAAGACCCTTCTTAAAATGATCTCTATTCATATTGGAAGAATTAAAATGGGATTGATTTAGATAAATTTATAATTCTAGGCTAAATTGCATAAAGGCTTTCTGTTAGTACCTCCCAACATCAGGTGAGTCATTTAATTTATCTATTAGCAGAATGGTGAAATGAAATACTGAAATAGGCAGTAGTCGACTGTATAGCCCCGCCTTCAACTTAGTGTGAGAACAACACAGATGACTTTGTTCCTTTTGCAAAACTTAACAGTTTGAAAAGCTCCAAATAATTTGCTTTTTCAAAAGAGATATTCGTGCTCTTGGCTGTATTGTGAATTACTGAAATGTCAAACCAAGCTAAAAAACTATCGACCTTTTAAGGTGGTTGGCCAAGAGCTAAGTTTGAATTGGTTTCCAGTGTTCCCTAGTGCAGGTTATATATAGATTCTAGTCTTCACAGGCTCCCTGGGGCTCTTAATGTAGTCACACTGGGAGTCATGAATATTTTTCCAGTAATTCAAGGACCTCTAGAGGACTTCAGACTGTAAGGTTTATTCATATTCAGGCAAACACAGGAAAAAAACCTCATCAAAATTAACAGTTAACCAAGAGGAAGCAATGTAACTAAAAGCACAGTGACTGTAGTACAGGTGATCTTGTTAGGGTTAACATGGGTGGTTTATTCCTAGAAAGATCCAGGGGGTAGCTTTAGGTCTAACTGCGGCTCACCAACATTTGTAATCCTTTATTTCAATAATGGTTAGAAGTAGGTCTGACTATCTTCCCAGAGAGTGGTATAAATGTTTAGTTCTTTTTTGCCAGGAGAGGAGAGGTCTTTATGAGACTTCATTTAAATTCTGATTATTAAACTGAGGCTTTAATTGATGTTAATGCCTTATCTATAAAATGTAAAACAATCTAGAATTTGCTTGGGGGGGTTGGGGAGTGGTATTTCTAGGACTAATACATTGAAAACTGATTCAGCCTCTAGTAACTGAACACTTTTCAATAGCATGGTTAGTCAAATTCATTATGACTTTTAACTTACAAGAAGCTTTTGGAGTAGGTTGGAGTATTTATTACATATTTTACTGTTTACTGTCTAACGTGGGCCTTTAATTTGTAAACATTTATTGAAATGATTGTGGGGCTGTGGAAAACATTTACCTATTTACCTTTGAAGTAAGTTTTAAAAGACAGTCCACTTTTTAGCATGTGTGTTGTGTCCAGCCTGTGGTTGTCTTAACTAATAAATGTGATTTTTCTCCCCATTCTCTCTTTTATTTATTTGCGTATAGGCCTCTCCCCTGGTGTGTTTTTCCTGAGTATGGAAAACACAACACGTTAATAATGCCCAGCTTTGCAGTTTGATTAACATAATTGCTTTCCAACACCACTGTTTTCATTCTCTAATTTCTTTTTTTTACAAACTTGAGCACGTCTTTGTATAGAATGATTTTCTGAGCCTATCTTACAACAGCTTACACATGATGAAAAATTTTAACTGTTCTTGTGCTACGTTTGCTCAATTGCTAAGCTTTTGCCCTCATTTCATAAACTGCTCCTCCTCGGTAGTCTAGTGGAATCTAGTACCTTGTTCCTTTCACCTGGAGTGATTTTCAAGGTTTCTGTATTATGTATTATGAAGGAAGTTAGAAGTAAGGAATCATGGGCTTTGGAATCAACGGTTTTCCTCAGTCTGAGCTTCACCACTTTTTCACTATTTGGCCTATTTCCTTAAGGGTTCCAGGTGTTAAAATAGAGATTGCAAGGTCGCAAGCCTGCTAGGTAATCGTAGATCTCTGTTTTAAATATTTAAGTCACAAGGTTTACTGCGTGTTTGATGAACCTTTAGAAGGGCACCTTATACGCTAGTGGTTTGTGCCTGCACATTCGCTTTTGCCCCTCCTTGCGGTTGGTTTCCAGGGTTCCCAGGTGATGTGCTGACGGAGGACTGTCCTTCGAGAACCACTCCGAGGTGTGAAGGGACTGTACCCCCTCCCTCGCACGGCCCAGCTGCACTCCCAGGACTGCTCTGGGGGTAGGCATGCTAGCGGCAGCATTTGCCTAGCGTTGCAACGAAGGCCTTGGTCTCCAAGCCACCACAGAGGGACTGAAAATGGGAACCAAAGTTTATTTTCGTGACCGTTTTTAAGATTGAGAAAAGGGGTATTTAGATGATGATTTGGGGAACATCGAAGTAGTTTTGTGTCCGATTTGCAAAAAAACTGCTAAGGAAAGTAAAGCTGACTCAACAGTGGCTGTAGCACGATGGTAAAAAGTAGGTAGGAATGCCATCCGGGCTGATGAGGTCAGCTAAAAAGAACAGCAATTAGAGGGTATCAGGCTTGATTGAGGAGAGAAGGGGCACGAGGCCGGCAGCCGCCATGTCGAGAGTGGGAGGTGCGAGGCGGCCGCGGCAGGAAGAGGGACGCGCTTCCGTGGGTGGGTCGTGCGCACACGCACTTCCGTCGCGCCTGCGCAGTGGGCGCTCCGGCTCAGCGTGGTGGCGGTTAGTTGAGATCAGCCGGCTAGGAGGAGACTGCCCCTTAAATCCCGAGGCGATGCGCTCTGGTGCAGCTGTCAGGGCCGGCCGCAAGGTCTGCAGGGTCCTGTTGTCTGGGTTTGGGGGTCGACTAGATGGAGGCCAGGCGGAGCGGCTGACAGAAGGGAGTAGCTCTCTCGGAGGGCCCCTGAGTTCGCACGAGGAGCTGCCCCGGGGGAGCGAGCCGAGAGAAGCCCCGGAGTCCGGTAGCGGGGGCAGCGAGGCGCTGGTGGAGATGTGTCAGAGAAGATATTTCCTCAGTGGCACCGAGCGGCAGCTTAGCCGAGAGTCTCTTCTGAGCGGGTGCCACCCCGGCTTTGGTCCCTTGGGCATAGAGTTGCGGAAGAACCTGGCGGCGGAATGGTGGTCCTCGGTGGTAGCGTTCAGGGAGCAGGTCTTCCCGGTGGACGCCCTGCACCATGAACCAGGCCCTGCGCTGCCCAGGGACAGTGCCTTCAGGTTAGTTTCTGCAGAAACGCTACGCGAAATCTTGCAAGACAAAGAGATGAGTAAGGAACAGCTAGTAGCATTTCTTGAGAACTTACTAAAAACTTCTGGGAAGCTACGGGAGAGCCTTCTTCACGGTATGCTTCACGATTTCATGCTTCAAAATAGGTGTCGGGGTGGAAAGGCAGTCTCGCTCCTTTTCGCGAATTGCAACTGGCCCTTTATTCACGTGGGAAGGAAGTTATGTGGTTCTCGTCTTTTTGAAGTAATTGGGTGTATTTACATGCGTCTACCCTGGAGGAAACTGGTCCACGGAATCGTTACTGTTCCTTCAGAGTCTGGCCGAAGGACCTGATAACGCTCTCAGTTTCACGGGGCTGGAATTTTAGAGTTCAACTGAGCCCCTGTAGAGTTAGGACCTAAATTAAATCATGTGTTTGACTTATTTGTCTGTCGTTACTGAGATGTTTATAAATATTCCACAGTTATTCTGCTATTTTACACACAACAGACCAATCAAGAGCTCATTTTTCTAGAGCAAAAAGAAAATACCCTCCCCCCCCCCCCCCGTTTTGTTACTGAAAACTGATCTACAATCTGTCGTTTGAAGACCCCTTTAGGTAATTTTTGAGTCGGCAAAATAATAGGACTAATCAAGCTTTTTAAGTGATTCTTGAGTGAGTACACAGGAATTTATAGGGCACCATTTGCCTTTAATGTCAAATAGAACATGATTGCAGAGATTCTGAAAAAACAATTAAGGTTCTTTATAGGACAGACTTGGCTGCCACAGTGTCTGATTCTTGCAAAATGCTATCTTTGCCGTTTTTCACTAAGTGGTACTATAAAGTAATTTAAAATAACCAGTGTCCATGGTTCTCTGAAAATTAGTACCCGTGTTGTAACCTTCTAAAGATTTCCTTAATAAAGCAAACGAAAACTCGTGAATAAAGGTGACAATTTTGATTTATACCGCTTTAATTATTCCATAGTGGCCTTACTTTGGGGGAGTTAAGTCACTGCTCATTACCATGTCCCAAACCAAATCAATCTTTTCTTCCCTATTTGAAAATGAAATTTAAGCTCTCTTAGATGTCCATTCATCAAAGCGTCTATTGATGTCCCAGACATTTTCTTGCCCTCAGGAGACTAAAGCCACTTATTTGCCAAATCCTTTGGTTGTCTAGGGTTTAGCTTAGAGTTACCAGTTTGCCACTTCTTTCTACGCCCAGTGCCCTTGCTTGCTTTCTTCCATGTCTGAACGATTGTGGTAGCCGCTCCTTATCAATAGTTTTTTAAAAGTCTCGGTCATTATGTCTCCAAACATTGTAAGTGCCCATTGTTTTTCTTCTGTCCTTCTGTGACTAATTACACGTATGTTGGACCTTTTCCCCATCTTGTCAACTTTCTTGACACATTAATCACATTTTAAAGTCTCTGTGTAGAAACCCAGAGATATCCGTTTCTAGTATCTGTTTTCCTCCGGGCTTTTGGTCATTTGGACTTTTCTCTTGATATTCTAGGTAATTTGTGTGTAAATTATAGAGATAAATTGAAGCTTTAGGTGGCGTTTTGATAGGCAGCTCGAGTGGGAGCATGTCTTCTTAATACAGTCTGGGATTAAGTTTATTAGGGGCTGGGCTGCATTCAGTCTTTTCACCTCTACTCCGAGAGTGTAGTCCTTTGAGTGTCCCTTGTGAAAGACTGGAGTGTTTACCAGGGCTCCTCCTCCTTGATGAGCTAGGAACAACAATTTTTTGTTTGTTTTTTTTGTGAGGAAGATTGTTGCTGAGCTAACGTCTGTGCCAATCTTCCTCTATTTTCTGTGGGACGTCACTAGAGCGTGGCTTAATGAGCAGCGCTAGGTCCAGCCTGGGGTCCAAACCTGTGCACCCAGGCCTCTGAAGAGAAGCACATGAATTAACCCCTACAACACCAGGCTGGCCCCCTATGAGCTACAATTTTTGTACTTCCCAGTCTCGTAACATGTCAGGAATCTCTACTCAACACTTCAGCTTCTCAGCTCTGCTGCATGAGAATTGGAAAAGCAGACTAAATGTTGGGTTCTCCTCTCTGCACTTCCCTTTTCTCCAAATCTTGGACCCTCAAATCCTTGCTGCCTTGATAGCTCTCCTATGTCTTTATATTTTACTTTTATTTATTTTTAATTAAAAAAAATTATTTTTTCCCTCTTCTCCCCAAATCCCCCCAGTACATAGTTGTGTATTCTAATAGTGGGTCCTTCTAGTTGGGGCATGTGGGACACTGCCTCAGCATGGCTTGATGAGCGGTGCCATGTCCATGCCCAGGATCCAAACCCGGGAAACCCTGGGCCACCGAAGCAGAGCACCGAACTCACCCACTCGGGCTCGGGGCTGGCCCCTCTACTATGTCGTTAAACAGAATTGTTTTTTTTTAATGTTTCTTGACCAGCTTTTCTTGTTATCAACAAGCTAGTGTTCTCTTACCAGAAGTGGAAATCTCAAATCAAGCAACTTTTGAACACAGTGCTGTCATTTAGTGGGATATAATCTAAGTGCATAAAGAACTACAAAAAACCCCTTGAACTTAGATTTATTCTAGGTAGAAATGTTGGAATTATAATTCTGAAGCTATTTGGTATGCATTATAGGATAAAGCAAATAGATGGATAGATTAATATTATTAGGCACCACGATTTTCACTGTAAGAGAAAAGAGATAGAAATATAAAAGAAGGCAAGCATAATCTTTGTAATGTTGCATTTGAATTGACAGTATCAATATGACCTCATGATTTTTAAAAATATCTATTTCCTAACTTTCTTCATTGAAAGGGCCTGGAAGCAATTGCACTCAATAGCAATGAGTACACCTAGTACCCAGAATTTGGTTTCTAGAGTGAACCAGTGCTTGGAGAAATGGCTGATTCCAGGTCTGGGGTGGGGAAAGTACAAGGTGAGTTTGGGACAGTTTATGGTGCTAGAAAGCAAAGAATTACTTGAAAACTCGTGGGTTCATGTCAAAAGGACACAGATACTGGCTTGCAGGAGACTCCCACTGGCTAAATTTGGGACAAATTGAACATTAAAATAAATATCGATGGTAATGGATTATAACATATTAAATAAAATTAATCCATAGTGTTAATTTAAAAAATAAGTAATTGAGGCTGCTGGTGGAGGGAGGAGGTGGAGAAGTTTATATTTTTACAGAAGCTATGCAATAAATGTAAAAGGAAAGGTAAATTAGAAAAATAACTATTTTATGATTTTGCAATCCCCAGTATTATAATTGATTCAAGCAAGGATCATAAATGGATTCTAAAATATTGGGTATAAGATTGTTGGGGAGCAGGATACTATTGGGGAATGGATATTCACTACATTAACCAGGTAGTCAAATTTGGTTTCGTTAGTAGTGGGATAATCTGATATTATGTTCCTCCTGTTAGGATGCAGTAAGACATGCACATCAACTGTGTAGTATTTATTCCTGCTAAAAATAACCCAAATTAAATCATAAGGAAACAATCAGACAAATCTCTAGTGTGAGATAATCTATGATTAGACTGGATTCAAATAAAAAGTCAATGTCATTAAAAGCAAAGTTAGAGAGGGGAGGAATTGGGAAATGTTCTAGATTCAAAGAGATTAAAGAGACCTAATCAAAATGCAGTGCATGAACCTTAGGGAGAAAGAGAACAGCAATAAATGACATTTTGGGTGACAACTGGAGTAAACAGAATATCAACCATATGTTAGATGAAATATGATTAATTTTATGGTGTAATAATATACAGAGAATATTTTTAATTTTAGGAGATTCGTGCTGAAATATTTGAAGTGAACAAGAAAAAGAAAACAAATGTGGCAAAATGTTGACAATTGGTGAATGTAGGTGAAGGGTTTACAGGTGTTTATTGTCCTATTTCAGCTTTCTTGTAGATTTAAAAATCTTCAAACTAAAATGTTGGAGAGAAACTATCTAAAATTAAGTTGTAATCAATTAAGATCTGCCTTAGTAGTTCCATGCCGTTGTACTGCTCTGTTAGCATTATTGTGTTATTAATTTGTCTATTAATTGACCAAAATGATGTGGGTTTATAGAACAGATTTATAGGATGATTGGTCTATCTTTTGACAGGTGCCTTGGAGCACTATGTTAATTGCCTGGATCTGGTAAACAAGAGGTTACCTTATGGCCTTGCTCAGATTGGAGTGTGTTTTCATCCTGTTTCTGATACTAAGCAGACACCTGATGGTGTTAAAAGGTACTAAAAATGGCAAATAAACTTGGCCTTGTATTTAAATAGTCAAGAACCAGTCATTTTCACTTTGGGATAGATTATATAATTTTCAAATAAGTAATTATCTGATATTTCTGGTATCCAAAGAATTGGTGAGAAGACTGAAGCTTCACTAGTATGGTTCACTTCAGCAAGAACTGCAAGCCAATGGCTTGATTTCTGGCTACGTCATCGACTCCTATGGTGGAGAAAGGTACTACAATAATTATCCTAATTTAATCTTTTTTTTTTTTTTTTAAGATTTTCTTTTTCCTTTTTCTCCCCAAAGTCCCCTGGTACATAGTTGTATTTTTTTGGTTGTGGGTCTTTCTAGTTGTGGCATGTGGGATGCCGCCTCAGCATGGCCTGATGAGCGGTGCCATGTCCCTGCCCAGGATCCGAACTGACGAAACCCTGGGCCATTGAAGCAGAGCACGTGAATTTAACCACTCGGCCACGGGGCCGGCCCCCCTAATTTAATTTTTAATAAGTAAATTGTCTTAGTTTGTCAGAGGTAATACTTCTCTATAATAAATGAAATTTTATTTGATGTAGCTATGTTATATTTATAAGACAGCTATAATAAATCAACAAATACAAATAATCTCTCTGCAGTGATTTTTGTTTTTCCATATAACAAAGTTACTTTGGTTAAGACATTCATTGCTGTCTCTCTTTTGCTCAGAAGCTTTTGTTCATAAGCCTTTACATTCGAGATCAAGTTCAAGTCCCTCACCTGGCATTCCTGACTGGTACTGACTTTGACTCTTGCCCACTGTCACGGCTCTAACTTTTGCTTCCTACCTCCATGAACTCTTCATGTTAGTGAAAATAGTTCTGTAATTTCCAATCAAGTTTTAGTATATGCTGAAGAGAAAAGAGTTGAAGAAAGCATTTTTTGTCTCACCCTTGTCTTATTTTTCTCCAACTCTTAAAATCCCCACCCACCCACCTAAACTAAATGGAATAATCACAAATAATTAAGCTCTTCACAGAAGGATAAGAATGGTGAGTATATGATGCTTTCTTCTTTATCCCACTTAGTTCATGGTTCCCTTCACCTCTTACTAATTGACCACAGAAAGGCTAGATAGCATCAACAGTTGTTCTCTGTAGTTCTTTCAGACTAAAAAACAGCATTTTTAGCAGTACATTCCCTCATATTTAATTACACTTAATTTTTATTTGAGACGTGATCAGTTTTGTTCAGTTGCTGGATAAAAAGTCTCAGGCAACTTTTTAACATTTATTTTAATAAGTTAGTAAGACAAACTTAAACTTTCTTTTCCAGTTTGCCATGAGTCCATCTAACTTCAGCAGCAGCGATTGTCAGGATGAAGAGGGACGAAAAGGAAACAAACTTTATTACAATTTTCCCTGGGGAAAGGAGCCAATAGAAACCCTGTGGAATTTAGGAGATCATGAACTTTTGCACATGTATCCTGGAAATGGGTCTCAATTATACGTATGTTTTACCTTGAGCTCCTATGTATCCTTTACCCAGATTCTCTAACTGTGATTATTTCTGAACTATTTGAGAATAAGCTGCAGACATGGTGCCCCATGACCTGTTACTCCTTCAGTATGTATTTCTCAAGTGCAAGGACACTCACCTACATAACCACAATGCAACCATCAAAATCAGGAAAATAACAGTAATCTACTACTACCAGCCAATCCACAGAACCCTTCAAATGTAAGCAGTTATCCCAATATGCCCTCTGTGGGTCCAGGATCCAACCTGGGGTCATGTATTTCATGTCCTTATGTATCCTTAGTCTCTTTCAAATGAATAATTCCCTTTATCTTTTCTATCTTTCTTGATCTTGACATTTTTTAAGAGTACGGGCCAGTTACTTTGTAGAATGTCTCTTGGTTTGAGTTTCTCTCATTTTTCCCCATGTATTTTTGTTAGGAATGCTACAGAAATGGTACTGCCCGCTTCTCGGTGCATCATATCAGGAGGCAATGACAACAATTTGTTTTTGGTGATGTTAACTTTTACCACTTGGCTAAGGTTTCCACCAGGTTTCTCCAATGTAAAATTGATAAGTATTTTCTAATGAGTAAGTCTTTTATGGATAGATGCTTTATATAAATAACCTGTTTCTCACCAAATTTTGACCTACTGGTTGCAGCATCCATTGATGATTCTTGCCCAAATCAGTGGTGATTTGTTAAATTAATTTTATCATTCATTCTAGATTTATTGATCAGTTTGTATTCTGATTCTACAAGTCTAAAATATGTAATTTTAAGAGAGAGTTCTGCTAAATGATACTTTATTTTTGCTTTGCTTTTCTGTGAAGGGCCGAGATGGACGAAAAAGCGTGGTTCCTTCTGTTTTATCTATAAATGGAGATCTAGACCGAGGCATGTTGGCTTACCTCTACGATTCTTTCCAGCTAACAGAGAACTCCTTTACAAGAAAGAAAAATCTTCATAGAAAGGTGCTTTTGATATTTCAGAGATAGACTTGGGAAACTTAAATATGTTTTTATCCCCCTTTTTTTTGTACTAGTGTGCTTGTTTTATAACATAAACTCTGAATAATAAACTTATTTTAGTGCAAGTCATTTAGGTATTTTTCAGTTTTTCTAGAATCTGGCCACAGGAATAAGAAGTGGATTCTCACACAACGAACCAGGCATCCCTATTGGGTAATCCCAAAGGCATTTCTGTTTGATCATGGGCAGCCAGACAGCTGTCTCTGGTTCTTAGCCCCTGAGGCTTTTCATTGATGGCTTCCATCTGTATCAGAAGCTGAATGTTAAGTAGGAGTTAAGACAGACAGATCAGCAAGTCTTGTCTGCTTCTGGTCTGCCCCCAAGTGGCTGATCACTGAATCACAGGGACTAGATAGGGGCCTGAGTCAATGGAAAGGCTTTAGGACATGCAGCTTGAGCATTTTTATAGGCTCAAAATCAAGAGAGACGAAGGATTGAAGTTATGGGAGAGAAGATAAATGACTAATAGAGCAAGATTTTGGAGGAAACAGGAGGGAATCAAGACAGGATCAAGAATACAAGTTGGAGGGACTGGTCTTGAAAGGGAATTATTTGAAACAGTAGGGAAGAAAGAGATAAATAGGCTACTGGGGCTGGTTAAGTTTTACTCATACTCTATTTTCCTAGGGAATTAGGAGGCAAGATTATTAGCTTAAAATGTGGAGGAGTAGGGTTTTAAGTTGCAAGAGTTTAGAAGAGTCAGATTCCTCTTGAATGTGAAAGGGAGCTGCCTACATCAAAAGTTTTAACATGTTGGGTGCTCAACTGGGATTGGCAACTGTGAGCTTTCAGCGACACTCTGCATTGTTAAGTGATTTATTAGGCAGTGTTCATGGAGCCTGATATGGCCGTAGAGAAAGTTAGATTATAGAATTGTTCTGGGGGTTGGGATTTATAGGATGTATATAGCAAGCAAACAAGGGGGATCCTTTCTTTCTTTCTCTTAGACCCCACATTCAAACAATCAGCAAAACCTGTTTGGCTCTGCCTTCAAAACATATCCTGAATCTGACCATCTTTTACCACCTCCACTGCTTCCACTCTGGTCTAAGCCACCATCATCCTCTTATCCCCCTGCTGAGTGGCTCTTTTAAAAGATACATGTTACTTTGTGCCTCTGCTTGAAACACTCCAGGAAGTTCCTCTTCTCACTCAAAGGAAAAGCCAAAGCCCCTAAAATGTACAGAACCTTTTCCTTTTTGACCTGCTGCTCTCTACCTCACTCAAGCTGCCCTAACAGCACGGACCTCCTTGTTGTTTCTAGGTCGTGCCAGGCGTGCTCCCAGCTCAGAGTCTTGTCATTTGTTCTCCCTTTGCCTGGAGTGCTCTTCCTCCAGTATCCACAGGTCTTGTTCCCCAACCACCTTTCAAGTCTTTGCTCAAATGTCACCTCAGAGAAGACACTTTCTCTTACCACCTTATTTAAAATTGCAAACAGCCCTCCCCTACCTCACCTCTTGGCCAGCAGTTGCTATCGTCTCCCCCTTTTTTAGCACTATTATTTATTTTGTTTATTAGCTGTTTCTCTCCATCGTGAGGGACAGAGATTTTTGTCCCCAGCACCTACAGCTGTTTCTGGCACCAATGAGCCGTTCAGATGTTTGTTAAATGGATGACTGAATGAGAAGAGTGGTGGGTTTGGGCGAGAGAAGGTCCAAATGATAAGCCACATGGCCCAGGCTGGGCAGGGAAGGCAGCGATGCCGGAAGGGGACAGTTTGAGGGAAAATGGAGTTGTCAGAAAACGGCAGAGTATCAAGTGAACTTACTTCTGCAGAACATCTAAGTGGAGAAATCCGTAAGCAGCTGGATACATCATTACATGATTTTTTTGTGGCCTCAGCTGGCTTCCATTTTCACACAGAAAGTTTTAACTTTATGAAGCTCCATGTTTGTTTGTGCTTGTATTATATTTAAACAAGATGTGCTGTCCTTTTTCCCCTCTCTTTAAATTGTCTTAGGTACTTAAACTTCACCCCTGTTTAGCCCCTATTAAGGTTGCTTTGGATGTGGGAAGAGGCCCAACAGTGGAATTAAGACAGGTGGGTTAAATGAGTTTAATGTCATGATTTTAATTATAACCATTATTCCAAGTAAATGAGTAGCTTGCCACTTAAAGTTTTATTTTGATTCATCTGCTTTTTAAAAATTTTTAATTAAATAAGGAACGGTGGATAAATACTATGGTTAGTTATAGATAATTTGAAGTATAGTGTATTAAAGAAGCTGAATACAGTTCGGTGGATTTTGCTGTTAACGTCATGCCCAGTCATGGTTGCATTTTTTAAGTGAGTATGCATAGTTTGGTAATCAAAATTTTCGTACAGATGTCTAGTAAATTATTTCTTTCCCCCTTCTCTTTTTAACTTAATGCTTTTGATCCTTATTGGTATAAGCACAGGCTCTAGATCTGTAATCTTTTTTTTTTTTTAAGATTTTATTTTTTCCTTTTTCTCCCCAAAGACCCCCAGCACACAGTTGCATATTCTTCGTTATGGGTCCTTCTAGTTGTGGCATGTGGGACGCTGCCTCAGCGTGGTTTGATGAGCAGTGCCATGTCCGCGCCCAGGATTTGAACCAATGAAACACTGGGCCGCCTGCAGCGGAGCGCACAAACTTAACCACTCGGCCACGGGGCCAGCCCCTAGATCTGTAATCTTATTTTGATTTTTCTAATCTATCTGGTTGAATTACTCTTGAGAAAAGCCAGGAGGGTGGTTCTTGTTCCTTTCCAGCAGTCATTTCTGTCTAGGTGACTCAGACCCATCCAGGACCTGAGTGAGGACACTGGAAAGATGTAAAGAGTGAGAGTCTTGGCTTTCTGCCCGGACTCCTGTGCACATGTCTGGGAAGGTAAGGATAGCTCAGAGAAAGGGAAAGGAAGATAATGGCTTAATTTCCACATTCCCCTTCCCCCCCCGCAGGTTGTGGCAAGCCACCCAACACCCTGGTAGGTAGCCAGTTCCTACAGTTTTTTGCTTGAAGAACAAAGAATTCTGCCCTCTAGATTTTTGTGATTACAATTGTGGGCCTTTTTTTGTTTTTGTTTACTTAAAAGAGTATAGTAGTATTTTGTGCCTTGAATGTCTTTAATTTACCAAAAAGATAGTGTGTTATGTATCTTATTCTGTTTTTAACTTTTTGCCTCAGCAGTGTGACAGAGAGAATACTTAAGCGTGTAACTTTTGGGCTATACTAGAGTTTTTGTGGATTAAATACACAGCGATGGGATTTTTGGTTAAAATGAATCTGTATCCTTAGTTTCACAATATCAGCTAGATTGCCCTCCAGACGGGCTGTGCCTATCTGTCCTCTCACCCATGGTGAGGGTTCTCCTTTCCCCATGCTTTCAGTGCTTAATCATGCTTGGAGCTTTTTCTCTCCTGTTCTACCTTCCATTAGAAAGAGCCAATTTTCTGCTGGCAACCACTAACTTATTAAAACTCATATTTATTTTTCCTTATTAATTTCTTAGATTTATTAGTATCTATATTCTCATCTATCCCCAAAATATCGAGTACCTTAACACCCATTTGCTTCACTGTGGTCGTTCCTTGGGAACCTGTTAGGAATGCACATTCTTGGTCCCCACCCCAGACCTGCTGAATCAGAAACTCTGGGAGTGAGGCTGAGCAATCTGTGCTTTGACAAGCCTTCCAGGTGATTCTCATGCTAGCTGAAGTTTGAGAAACAGTGCTCTAGCTCAGGCACACCCCCACCCCCAAGCCCCGTGAGGGCGTTTGGTATTGTCAGGAGACCGGTTCCGGTTGCCACAAGGTGGGGAAGGATGCCACAGGCATCTAGTGGAGGCCAGGGATGCTGCTAAACATCCTACGCCAGCAGTGTGGGATGAAAGAAATCCTGTAGAGCTTTAGTTCTCAAATGTTAAGGCTGTTTTCAATTTTGCTTTGTTTTGCTTCACCATTGCTTCTTAAGAAAACAGTAAAGTCTACTAAGTCATTTACTCATTATTACTTCTGTATTTCCAGTCAGACTTTTGTCTCCAGCATTCCACTGAAACAAATCAATCAAATCACTCATTCTCTTCTTGAAGCATTTTCTTCAGTTGGCTTCAGGAATACCACTCTCCTGGTATTCCTCATACTTTTCTGGCTACTTCCCCTTAGTTTCCTGAACTGGCTCTTCCTTCTCTTCCTGATGGGAGTATAACCCTGGGGCTCAGTTCTCAACTCTCAGATGAGTTTAGAGTTAACACAGCCTTTTAGATTTCTGTTTTTCTCTGATAAAATCTGTTTGGTTTTATTTGTGTTTTAGATGATAATTCTTATATTTGGTATAAAAGTTTCTCTCAGAAGATTTGTATTTAGTATTCAGCTTTGCGGTGCTTAATTTCTTCATTTTCAGAGGAATTATATAATTTATAAGTATACAATATATAAATTATATCACATAATTAAAAGAATTTATGTCCATTGTAAAGATTGAAAAAGGTGATTTATGGTCCCCAAAAATAGGGTAATCACTCTGGCTACTTTTCTTTCGTATTTGAAGTTTTTGTATTTTTTCCCTAGGTTTGTCAAGGGCTATTTAATGAATTACTAGAAAGTGGAATTTCTGTGTGGCCTGGTTATTTGGAAACTGTGCAGTCCTCATTGGAACAACTTTATTCAAAGTAAGAATTGTCTTCTTTGCCACTAAAAACTGTCTTTATTCAGAGTTTTTGATCATATGATGTTTCTTTATGAGTAACAACTCTCTTCTAAATGTATATATAATATAATTTAAAATTATTGCTAATTTTCCCCCCATTTTACAGAACCACGTGCCCTTAGTTAATTGCTACAGCAGGGAACGATATTTATCAGGTATATTTGAGCGCGTACTATGTGCAACGTTAAGACTTAACATCATGAAGTATATATACCTGAGTTTATCAATTAATGAGAGTTGGAATTATGTGTATTGGGTGCATTTGTTGAATCAGGACTGAGGGAATCTGAGTGGAGTACCTTTTCCTTGCTGGCCTCGTGGTTCATTCTGAGGCTGAGTGGAAGATAATTCCATCCAAGAGGACAGAGAACTAGTCTTCTCAGTGATCTGCACCTCCCTTCACCGGATCGCTCAAGGCTGAAACCTGGATATTGTCCTTGACTCCTCTGTCTCCTTACTCTTCACATCCAGTCAATCACTCACTGTTTGTCATCCTGCCTCCTACATGTATCTCAGATCCCTCTCTCTCCATCTTCACGCCAATACCCAAGTTAAGGTCACCACTATCTCTTGGCTGGATTAGTAAAGTAATCTCCTAATTGACCTCCCTGTCTCTAATCCTACCCCTGCTATTTCACTAACTTCTCTTTTTTAGTAAAGTAATTCATTCTTCCCTCCTTTGAGTTTACTTTGTTATTCTTTTAGCTTTTTGTGTTGAATATATATCTTTTGGGTGAAAAGTTGTGAAGCTTTGTGTTTTGGTCCTCGGTTCTCTAGTAACTAAAATACACCTTTCAGATGATGTTAGAGGAAAAGTAGGTTTCTATCAATAAAGCAACTAATGGTTTCATCATATATAAAACGAAGGGGTGGTACTTGGACTTCCCAGTCCTCTCGGGTTCTAAAATCTTAACCTTGGAGTTGTGTGGACATTATCGAGTTACAGTCATTCTTTATATGGTAAAGGCTTTATTGTCCCGGGAGATTTTTATCCAAGTATTTATTAAGTGCCTGCTGTGTTATATGTACTTTGATAAAGCAGTGAACAAGACAGAAAAGTTTCCTGTTCTTATAAAGCTTATATCCTAGTGGGACAAAATAGATGAAAACAAGTAAATAGATAAATAAGATCATTTCGATGGAGTCCTACAAAGAAAAGAAACGTTAATGAGATAGTGTGACTGGGTAAGCAGCAAGAAGGCCAGTGTGGGTACTCAGTTATTGCTGAACTAGAAACGACAGTTGGCCCTCCACATGCCCAGTTCCACATCCATGATTCAACCAAGCATGGAGCAAAAGGCCTATGATGGTTGTATCTGTAGTGAACACGTACAGACTTTTTTTCTTGTCCTTATCCCCTCAACAATACAGTTTAACAACTATTCAATAGCATTTATATGTATTAGGTATTATGAGTGATCGAGAGATGCTTTAAAGTATGTGGGAGGGTGTGCGTAGGTTATATGCAGATGCCACTCCACTTTTGTAAGGGACTGGAGCATCGGCATATTCTGGTATCCATGGGCACGGAGGTTTCCTGGAACCAGCCCTCAGCAGATACTGAGGGATAACTGTATACGTTAGCATACTAAGTTATACGTTAAGCATGATTTTGGGTGTAAGCTGTCGTACACTGGATCTTTATTATAGTAGTATGACAAAAGACGTGAGTCTAAAGTATTGTTTACTGTGTCCGAGTCCCAGCAGGCCGAGGCGGCTAAGTTCATCCATGACATCGTCCCAAATGACGGGCTGAGACACCAGTGTTTATTTCTCAGATTTTATTTTCTTTTATGACTTTTCAGCTATTACAATAAGTCAGAAACTTTCTGAAATTTTACTTTGAATACAATTAAGAAACTTGAAAAAGGTGTTTTTTGGTTCAGCCCTTAAGCCCTGCCTTTGAATTTTGTGACTCATGAATGTAGCATGAACTCTAAGGAAATTAAAGCTGGTAATGTGGTGAATTTACAGTTGATACTTGTGCTCATGTGTTTTGTTTACTTTTTTCTTAGATATGATGAAATGAGTATCCTCTTCACGGTTTTAATTACTGAAGCTACTTTGGAGAATGGATTAATACATCTGAGAAGTAGAGACACCACAATGAAGGAAATGATGCATATATCCAAAGTAAAAGACTTTTTAACCAAGTATATATCATCAGCTAAGAATGTATAGATTTTAATATTTGTATAATAAATATTCTTTCCTAATTTGGTAGTCTTATATTAACTTACATTTTTTTTAGTCCCTTTGCACTTATGAAGTGGACATTTGTGGTGCTTCTTCTGATTCAGTTTTTATTACTTATATTTCTTGATATATTCCATTGTATCAGGAATATGTTCAGTTACAAGAAACAAAAACCCTGCCATACTGGATTAAGCAAATTGCAGTTTGTTTTTCTCATAACAAGGAATCTAATGGGCAGACTGTCCAGAGCTCGTATAATTGTTTCCTCTATAGTTAGGGACCCAGGCTCTTGCTATCTTTCTGTTCCACCATCTTTACTGTGTTGGCTTGTATCTTGTTGCTTCATGGTCACAAGGTGGCCACTGTATTTCTAGCCTTCTCTTCCACATTCTAGTTAGGAAGTTAAAGAGATAAGAGTTAGCCAGCCAAAATCTACACAGAATTCGAAATATATTACGATGTACCTCCAAAAGCTATATAATGTTATAATCCAATGTTACTGCAATTAAAAAATAAAAAAATTTTAAAAAAAAGAGTTAGCCAGCCAAGACTCTTCCCTTTTTTTTTCTTTTTTAAATTATTGCATTGAGGTTTATATTGGCTTATAACATTATGTAAATTTCAGAGGTACATTATTATATTTCATTTTCTGTGTAGACTGCACTGTTTTCACCACCAAAAGTCTAGTTTTTATCCATCACCTTACATATGTGCCCCTTTACCTCTTTCACCCTCCCCCCACGCAACTCTTCTCTTTTTAATTATGAAAGTAAAAGCTTTCTCAGACATCCCCATCAGAAGACTTTACGTTTCATTCATCAGAACTGGGTTACATGGTCATTCCTAGGCCAATCACTGTGCAAGGGAATAAGAATATCATGATTAATTTGGATCAAACACAGTTTTATCCCTTGGGGCTACAGTAGTGTCTTACCCTCTCTGAAGTGGGTTTTGTTATCAGGAAGGAAGGGGTCTTTATGGAGTCTGCTACATGTACACTGTCAAATATCTAAGATTAGCCTAAAACTAAACTTTTAAAAATTAGAACATTAATTGATTTTTGAAAAGCAAGCTAAGTGTTAGATAGTATAATGTAATTATTAGTGTATTTCATGTCTAATTCTAATAAATATGTTTGTAAGAAATCTTTGAGCTTTTAGGTGCTGATTATGTTTGTGTTCATTGTAATCATTACCAACCTGACAAAAATGCCAACTGATAATTTGTGTAAAATATCTTGAAAGGCTGCCTAACTTGTCTTAGTTGACTTGACTTAGTAGGTTTTTATTTTCTGGTTATTATCTTTTGCTATTGTATAGAATTTCACACACAAACATATACCAAATAGTATAATTAATCTCATGTACCAATCACCCAGCACCAACAACCACCAACCCATGGCCAGTCCTGCCTCACCCACCCAGCGCCAGCCTTCCAGGCTTTTTTGAAGCAAATCACAGCTATCACTTCGTTTGTAAGTATTTCAGTTAAGGATCTTTTGTTAACCATTATCATACCTAAAAAAATTAATACTAGAAGATATTAAGGAATTATTGACAATTCCCTTGGGTGTGAATGGTATTATGGCTTTATTTTTCTGTTTAAAAAGTCCTTATCTGATAGAGACACATACTTAAATATTTTGAGTGAAATAATATATCTGAGACTTGCTTTAAAATACTCCAGTTTAAAAAAAAGTGGTGGGGGGCCAGTCCAGTGGTGTAGTCATTAAGTTCATGTGCTCTGCTTTGATGGCCCAGGGTTCGCAGGTTTGGATTCTGGGTGCGGACCTATACACCACCCATCAAACCATGCTGTGGCGGCGTCCCACATACAAAAATAGAGGAAGATTGGCACAGATGTTAGCTCAGGGACAGTCTTCCTCAAGCAAAAGAGGATGATTGGCAACAGATGTTAGCTCAGGGCCAATCTTCCTCACCAAAAAAAAAAAAAAGAATATAGATGAAAAACAAGGATGACGCTGAGTTGTTGAAACTTGGTGATGAGTACATGGGGGTTTATTGTACTGCCTCTGTTTTTGTATATATTTGAGAATTTTTATAATAAAAAGTTTTAAAAACCAATTCTTAAATATCCATTCAGTTTTCAATTGGGTAGTAATTTCATAAAATTTTGTACTGTTCATTTGAATCAGAATCCAAGTAAGGCCAATTTATTGAAATTGGTTGTTAGGTCTTTTAATCTTTCTCATCGTATAGATTTAGGTGCTATAGGCACTCTCTCTCTCTCTTTTTTTTTTAAGGAGTTGGGTTATTTATTGTGGGATTTTCCTCTGTTGGGATTTTGCTTATTAACTCTCCACGGTGTAGTTTAACCTGTTCCTCTCTATGTCTTTCCTGTAGATTGAAAGATGAATCCAGAGGCTTGATCAATTTCATTTTCAACTTTTGGTGGCTAGATTATTTCATGGGTTGTGTTCTCCCATCAGGAGGCAGTAAGGTCTGGTGGTTTCTGTTTTGGGGATGCTAGTAATCACTGATCAATGCCCAGATCAGTCAGTTCCTTAGAGGTAGCAAAATGGTGATATTCTGATTCTGCCTTCCTGCTTCATTCATTAGCTAGAATGTTTCTACAAAGAAAAACATCTCATCTGCTGTTTGCTTAGAGATATGGGAAAGGTATGATAAATACTGGATTCATCCCCTTTAAAGTTATTCTTTTGATGCTCAAATTGTCCTATCTTTGGCCTGTGGGAGCCTCTTCAAGTTGGCCTCGAGACCTTTTGATACAACTTTAGTAGTCTTCAGTAGCTTCCTTGCTATCTAATGTAGAGGTTATGTATTTCAGAGTTTCTCCAGGGAGCCCTGGTTCCTTTTATTGGAAAACACTGTTTGGAGACCATACTCTGGGTAGTAGGGATGCTCGTTGTTGGAAAGTGATCTTTGTTCCTAGGCCTTTTCTGTGTTTAGAGCTAGCAAATATATGTGTGTGTATATTTCCCCCAAATTAAAAAATTCATCATGAATTCACACCCCTACTTTTCATTGAAATTCAGTACTGCAGAGGAGTGTGTGTGTGTTTTAATCAACTTTATTGAGATATAATTTACATACAATAAGTTTACCTATTTTAAATGTATGAATTATGAGTTTGGGCAAATGTGTAGCCACCACTACAGTGTGATACAGAGCATTTCCATGGCCCCAAAAAAGCCCCCTCATGCTCCTTTAGGACTACAGGGTTTTTACTTAACTTCTTCTATCATACATCTTTATCTCGTCCCACACCAAGATTTCCAACTCTTAAGGATACCGAGGGTGCTAGGATCAGGATGCCACGCCACACAGCTGCTCATTTGCTTTATCTCAATCACACAGTCTCAGAGTTACTATACCGATAATACCACCATATGTCTACCTAAAAGTTTAAGTTTTATTTTTGCAGTTTTGAGTTCAATACTTAGTTTTTAATATAACTGAGAGTCTAAAAACTTTTAAAAAATTATTTTTCTGAGGAAAATCTCAGTCCTGCCCACAGATACCTTTATTTATAAGTTACCTTGTCTTTGGAGGGGCCTCCGCCTTCACAGAGGGATTGCATTCTTGGTCTCAGATCAGCTGACTGTTACGGCATCTGCACTAACTGGCAACATAGAATGTTTACACTGCAGTTGAGGTGAGTAGTATTTATGGAGGATTATCCAGATCAGAGGTGTCCACCTGGGGTTACACATCAGAATCTCCTATGGAGCTTTTTTTTTCTTCCTCTCCCCAAAGCCCCAGTACATAGTTGTATATCCTACAGTACATAGTTGTAAATCATTCTAGTTCATCTATGTGGGATGCAGCCACAGCGTGACCTGCTGAGCGATGCTAGGTCCATGCCCAGGATCCAAACCAGCAAACCCCAGGCTGCAGAAATGGAGTGTGCGAGCTTAACCACTTGGCTGTGGGGCTGGCCCCATTTTTTTTCTTTTTTTAAAATTTTTTTGTGAGGAAGATTGTCATGAGCTAACGTCTGTACCAAGCCTCCTCTATTTTACGTGGGATGCCACCACAGAGTGGCTTGATGAGCAGTGCTAGATTCACACCCAGGATTCGAGCCCGCAAACCCCGGGCTGCTGAGTCAGAGCACGCAAACTTAACCACTATGCAACCAGGCCAGGCCCCTCCTATAGAGCTTTTTAAAAATATATTTGAGCCCTATCCAAGACACACCTACTAAATCTCTGACAGTGGGGCCCACACAAGAATATTTTTAAAAATGTATAGGTGGTTTCTGATGTTCACCCGAGCAGTAACCACTATTAAATTTATCAGAAAGCTGCATACTGAGATGGATTGTTTTGATAGAACTTCCTTCCAACCCAATTGCTTTTAATAAATTTTCTCACCAAATACCCTTCTCAGGTATTATGCCATAGCAATATATATTGAAAGATGTTATTAGAAATAGTTTTATGAAACTTGGTGTTGATTTAGCTGTAAGAATGTTCTTGAAGGCATTTGTTTGCTGTGTTATATCACAGCTCCCTGTGAGCAGGCATGGGACAAATTTCTCTCAGATTTGGATTCCAGGGATGGTGATGCTTCTCCTGAAGTCTGGCCTGTTATTATATGTGTTATGTATTTGTATGTTCACTTCATTCATTCACCAAGACTTTGAGCACCTCAGTCCCAGGCACTCTGGGTGCTGGGGATGTATTGGTGAACCAAACAGACAAGGCCCCTGTAGGGGTGGGTAGGTGCCTGGACAATTTCAGGCAGTTTCAGACAGTGACAGTTTGTAAAGGAAGTGGAGCAGGACGATGCGCTACATCATGGCCGCGATGGTGTGCTTTACGTAGGTGATCAGGGAAGCCTCTGAAGACGCGACCCTCGAACTGAGACCGAGTGATACGAAGGAGCCAGCTGTGTGAAGATCTGGGCAGCACATTCTGGGCAGAGGGACTAGCAAGTGCCAGGGCCCTTAGGAGGGAAAAGGTGTGGTGTGACTAAGGAACAGAAAGAGGGCAGAGGGGCTGGAGGAGGTGAGCAGAGGGGAGATGGGTAGAAGATGAGGTCAGAGAGGTGGTCCGGGGCCACATCACTCACAGCCATGGGGCCCATAGTAAGGAGTCGGGAAGCAACTGGAGCAGGCGGGGGTGCTTTAAGCAGAGGCGGGACGTACTGTTGTCTTGAGAAAGATCACTGTGGAGAATGGAATGTAGAGGAGCAGAAGAAGCAGAGACGGAGAGCGTAGAGGAGAGAGAACTGTGAAGGGGCTCGGACAATAGACCAGGTGATGGTAGCCAGGACAAGAGAGGTAGCCATAGCCTTCTTAGACCTGGCAAGAGGATCCCCTGCCCTGGGCCCTGCCCTTTGGAGGGTCCTGCTCTGGCCCTTCTCCGGCTACACCCTTCCGCTTGGGACGTCTGAGAGGCCAAGGAGTCATGCTGGGAGGTCATTGTAATCCTTAGGTGTCTGTGTTTTCTAACCTATAAGTTGATGTGCTCCTGGAGGCCTCACTGTCTCTGTAGTGTGTACTGGGGAAGGGTCAAAGGTAAGGCACTTGCCCACGTCCCTCCAGGGCAGTAAATGAGAAAGAAGGAAACTGATGAGCTTCAGGCATCACAAAACCACTGTTGATCTTTCCTCTGGCTAAGTGTCCCCTTTACATCCTTTGGGAGAAGCAGCACTAAGAGAAGGAAGTCTCCTTAGGTTGTAGTCCACCAGCCCTGGGAGCCGAAGGGGCAGAGGAACAAATGCTTGAGGGCAGCTGGTCAGAGCACAGCTGTTTGCAGCTCCTCACCCCAGCAAGGTCTTTGTGCTGTCCTCGTGTTACCCTGTGGATACTGCCTTTCCCAATTTTCTGTTGGTCTTTTTCTTATTGATTTCTAAGAGTTCATTATATATTATGGAACTTTGTACTTTATCTGAGATGTGGGTTCAAAATATTTTCCCCTAGTTATTCTTTTGACTTAGTTTATGTTTTTAAAATGTAATTTTAAAATGTTTCATCTAATTAATTAAATTTAACAATCCTTTGTGTCTTCTGGATTGTGAGTCACACCTAGAAAAGCCTTCCCCTCTTAAAGATTATTTTTAAATTCCTCCTATTCTAGCACATCTGTGGCTTTATGTTTAGGTATTTTAATATTTGATCTATGTGAATTAATTTTGTTGTAAAAAATAAAGTAGGGAACCAATGTGGTTCTCAAGTTTGAATAATATATTGAATAATCCGTCTTTTCCCCACTGATTTAAAATGCCATGTTTTTCATATACTAAATTCCCATATATATTTAGATATATAGCTGGACTTTCTATCCTGTTCCATTGTTCTCCTTGTCCACCCATATACCAATACCACACTTTTAAAATCAGGGTAACTTTATAAAGTTGTTTCCAACCTCATACAGACCTCCCTCTCCCTCTCTCGCTCCCCTTCTCTTCTGTCTCATTTATGTTTACTCATAAACATCTTGAATCCTGCACCTTTTCTCTATATTCCATTTCCTGCTTCATCAAGTACACTGTTTAGTTGTTAGTAGTTCTTTCAGTAAGAACATGTGATTGGAAAACCTCCTTCTCAGTCTTTGTCTTAATACCTTTATTTCACTCTGAGTCTTGACTGAGATTTTGCCAAGTGTGGTAGATATTTTGATTGGCTCTCTTAAGCCACGTCATAACCCTCCTCCTATTTGGTGGAATCAGAAACCTAAAAACTTGCAGTTCCCTTGCTGCCATGGCTGTGAGTATCTTCCACGAATCAGATGCACATGTACAGGATCTGGAAGGTAGAGGGAGGAGGAGGTTTTTGCTGAGAAGCAATGCTGCAGTGGCAAAGCTCCACATCCCACTGTCTGGGCTCCAGTTTCCGGGTGTGAGCAGTTGTGGCAGGGGCAACGGCGGTCACAGCAGCAGCAGTAGTTCTCTGGGCTCAGATTGGAAGACAATCTACAGATCAATTGTTAAAATTGAAAAGAGAGCTTAGCAACGTTGCTGGATACAAAGTCAACCAAGAATAATGATTGTGTTTCTGTATATCAACAGCAGGAAATAAAAATACAACTTAGCATAGCATCAAAGTATCAAGTACCTAGGAATAAATCTAACAAAAGATGTGCAAAATGTTTATGCAGAAAATGATAAAAGACCATTGAGAGAATTGAAGACATAAATAAATGGTGAGATATTTGTAGTTTGCAAGACTTAATATTGTAAAAATGCTAATTCTCCCCAAATTGATCTATAAAATCAAGGCAATATCAATCAAAATCCCTATTATGTTAATTTTTTTTTGTTTAGAAAATAACAAGCTGACTCAAATTTACATAGACGTGCAGAAGGTCAAGACTAGCTAAGACATTCTTAAAAAGAACAAGGTGGGAAAATTTGCTCTTCCAGTTAGCAAGACTTATTTAAAAGCTGAGTTATGGTATTGATATGAAAGAGATAAGCAGAACAATGAAACAGAATCTAAAGCCCAGAAAGAAACCCGCATGTATATGGACATTTGATTTGTGACAAAGATGACACTGCAGTTTAGTGGGGAAAGGACAGTCTTTTCAGTAGATGGCGCTGGAGCAACCGGGTATATCCCTGCGGGGGAGGGGGAAGAAATATGATGCCAGTTTTACGTCACACACAGAAACAGTTCCAGGTGGATGTAAACTGAAATATGAAAGTAAACTAAAAAAGCCTTTAGTAGACAGTAATACAGGATAATTGTTGTATGACCTCCAGCTGAGAAAATATTTCTTCATCTGGACACACATACACGAAAGAACACTAATCATAAAGGAAAAGGTAGAGAAATTAAGCTCTTAAATTAGAACTTTTCATCATTAGGCGCCATTAAGAAAGTGAGAAATCAAGCTACAGAGTAGGAGAACAACTATTAAAAAATAAGAAAAACTCAAAACACCTCAACAGAAAAACAGGCTAAGAGCCTCAAACAGGCAGTTCATAAAGAAGAAATCCAAATGACCTATAAATATAGGAAAAGGTGCTCAACCTTATTGGTCACCAGAAAAATGCAAATTAAAATCACAAGGAGATACCACTATATGCCCACCAGAATGGTTAAATTACAGGCAGAGCCAGTGTTGCTGCAGATGTAGGGAATGGGAACTCTCATACCGCTCATGGGAATGGAAAGGTGGTAGAACTAACTACTTTGGGAAATAGTATGGCATTATCTACTCAGACTGGAGATAAACATACCCCATGAGCCAGCAATTCCATTCCTACGTATATTCACCACAATTGCATGCACATGGGAACCAGGAGACGTGTTCATAGAATAAGAATGGTCATAGCCACATTATTTGTAATAGCCCCCACCAGACAACAACCCATAATAGATAACTGACAGTATATTCAAACAATGCAATACTACTACATGCAGCAACAGGGATAAATCTCACAAATATAATGTTGAGCAAAAAAAAAGCCAGAACACAAGAATAAATGCAATATGACTCCATTTATATTAAATTCAAAGAGAGGCAAAACTGAAGACAGCGTATAGGAGCGCATACTTAGGTGGTAAAACTATAAAGAAAAGCAAAGAAGTGATTCCCATAAAAGGGAGTTAGGTCAGGGAAATGGGGTTGTGATTGCGAAGAGGCAGGCAGAGGGCTCTGTGGCTGCTGGCAACACTCCACCACTAGTGTTCACTTGATATAACTTATTAAACTGTACATGTATTTTTATGCATTTTCATATAATGCGTGCTCTATTTCACAACAAGAAAAGTTAAATGTGGATTTGAAAAAGAACCAAAGTGAAATTTCTAGACATCAAAAAATGTAGCTGTTGAAACGAAAACTCAATAGATGCTCTTCTGCTTTTCCTCTTCTTCCCTTCCTAAACAATTGAATCCCAAAGCTGTTGGGGGGCTGAATGTCTGTGCAGGGTACAATAAGATGGAGTGGGAAGTCACAGTAAGTGGGAGCTGGGAGAGGAGAGGGTGGTTGTGAGAACTGCCTGAGGATGAGTATACAAAGGAGTTCACAGTACCTGGAACCTGGTATGTGCTCAACACATGGCAGTTATTATTATTGTTGTTATTATAGTCCTTATAAGGGAAATGTTGAGAGATGGCATACCAGCCACCTCTGTATCCTGTGTCACTGTATCCTCTGGGTCTCACCTACGATTCTAGCTGCATCTGAGGCTTCACTCACTTTGTGTTGACAGCTTGTTGCTTCAAGTGTACAACACGTAGCACTCATTTTCTGCCCTGGGGCTTTCCAGTGCCCTGGGTGAGACACCAGTGGAAGCTTGCTTAGAATGCACAGCCTAGAAGTGGGGGAGGCATCCCCTCCTAGGGCAACCCTCAGCCGATGGGATCTGGAAGTCAATGGATTAAAGGCTTCTCACTATCGGTCCTCAAGTGGACAATTCTGAGAGACGTTCTTTCACTCCTCAGAAAGTTCCAGTGGGATCAAGCCCCGGTTGCCAACAGCAGTGCCCAGCTCAACAATAGCACCCTTGTACTGGCTTTTCCTCCAGTCCCTCACACCTGTTCCCTTGGGTCACGTCCCAAATAAATTATTTGCACAGAAGCCCTTATCTCAGACTCTGCTTTCAGGGCTAGCCCAGGATAAGACAAGGTATCAGAAGGTTGTAGAAAGCAGCCCTGGGAAATGGAGTTACTCCCTGGATGGACGGTAAGAAGACTCCGTTGCTGGTGGTCAGGGGAGTGGTGACAACCCTTATACATGATAGCTTCACAGTTACCAAGACTTTCCCCTGCAGAGGCGGAAAGTGAAGCACACGGTTATGCAATAGTGTGAGCACTTGAAAGGCATGGGGCAGTGGTAATTATATGGGTCGTGGAGTTGGCTGGCTTCTATGAACTGCTTTAGAAGCTTTGCAGGGAGAAAAAGAGAGGCTGTCGATTGAGGGCATGCTGTGAATCCCAGAGGCATTCTGGACTTAAGACCTTGGAAGGTCTGAACAGGATCAAATCCAGTTGCTGGTATGGTCACTAATTTGCTAGCCCCTCCACACCCCTTGTGTTGGTTCTTTCCCTTCTCTGCCTCACTCTCCCTGGGCCCTCACTCCTGTTCCCGGGGATCACCTCCCATTTCAACTACCTGCACCCGAGTCCTTGTCTCAGGCTCTGCTTCAGGAAGGAGCTCAGGTTAAGACAGATGAAGAAGCCGATGATGGCCAAGTCACCAAGTTTATGACCTTCAAAGTCTTAAAGGTTTCTGAGGGAAGCAGCCAATTAGTATGACTCAGAGTAGGCATCATCATACTACAAATAGCCTTTTTTGAATTCTTATTATATTCCTGGCCCCATTCCAAGCCCTTTACATTCATTACCTGAGTTAATTCTCAAAGCAGCTTCACAATGTATGTTTCATTTCTCCCTCTCTCTGTCTCTCTTTCTCCTTACAAATGAGAAAACTGAAGCCCAGAGATGTTAGGTAACTTATCCAGAGTCACACCATTAGGACTTGACAGAGCCTGGATTCAGCTCAGTCTGTCTGACTCTGGAGGCCCCCACACTCCTATCTCTGTGATATACCAATTTCCTCTCAACAAAAATAGCAACAGAGAAAGGGGGGAAATTATGCTCACGAGTGCTGCTTTATGGCAACAAAATCCTCAGACTCGTCTGGACCTGTGTGTGTGGCATCCATCCCCACAGCCAGTGCTTCCGCTGTTCTCTGCTGGGATTTAACTCCTAGTTCAACCACTTACGGAGACGTAGTTGACCTTGTAAAATTACTTACCTCATTTGAGTCTAAGTTTCCTTACTTGTAAAAGCAACTTAATATTGGCCTTGTAGGATGTTATACAGAGTTAGTGTCTGATAACTGATAGCTATGATTTTTCTAGTTAGGGGTCCATTGTTGGCAACAATGATGACTGAGGCCCAGGCAACCCCCCAAAAGAAGAGCAGAGCAGAAAAATTTTGTTCAAGTTGCTTTGTTTGTCTGGAACCCTAGAAATGCCTCTTGGCTTTTATTGGATTTTACTTATAGCTCCTAGGATGAGAGAGTCAATCCAGAAATCATTTTGTCCCCTGTAGTGGGCTGAATGGTGGCTCCCCAAAGGGATATGTCCATGTCCTGACTCCTGGTATCTATGAACGTCACCTTATTTGGAAAAAGAGTCTTTGCAGATGGAATTAAAGATCTCGAGATCAGGTCATCCTGGATCATGTGGGTGGTTCCTAAATCCAAGGATGAGCGTCCTTATAAGAGAAAGGCAGAGGAGGAGAAGGCCATGTAAAGACAGAGGCAGAGATTGGAGCGATGCAGCCACAAGCCAAGAAACACCAGGAGCCACCAAAAACTGGAAGAGGCAGGGATTCTCCCGTAGGGCCTTTGGAGGGAGCAGAGCCCTGCTGACATCTTTTTTTTTTTTTCTTTTTAATAATAGCAGAGCAGAAACTTGATTCATTGATAAACAAATGGATGAGGCAGAGCTCATGCTCCAAAACACCTTCTACCCTGCCGACATCTTGATTTTGGACTTCCGGCCTCCAGAACTATGAGACAATAAATTTCCGTTGTTTCAAGCCACCAGTGTGTGGTAATTTGTTACAATAGTCCCAGGAGATCCTCCCTTCTCCCAGAACTCAACTCTGGGCTGTTCTCTGCACAGGACACTGATGGGAAAGGCACATAAAGACACGCCTTTCACATCAGCTAAATCTGGAGGACTGAGGGTCTATGAAAATCAACACAATATTTTTGCAGCCTTCCAAAATCTGAGAGCAAATTTAAACAGCAACGGATAGCACATGTGTGCTTGTGGCACAATCCTGCCTTCCTCCCACGGTGACTGCAGGCACTATTTCTTCAGACACATTTTCAAGGTCACCAATTTTTGTCTTAGAATTTAGACACGGTTTTTGCTTTGCGTGTTTACTTCTGAGCCTTCAATGTTCATGGGGAGAGGGACACCGGGAAGATGATCATTACAATGCTTCCAGGATGCACTTAGGAAGAGCACAGTGGTCTAACAATTATTCTTTTTTAAATGATATGGAAATGTGGAGAACGGTCCATGCCTAAAACTAGCAAAAGCATTTAAAAACTGTCATCAGTCAGGATCCCACCTGACAAAACTGTTGGCTGATGACAGGATTGGATGATTGGATTACCTGAGTGAGCCAATGGAATAGAGTTTAACATGAAAAACAGTGATTCTCTGTAGGTAACCAGGTGAGACATTTCTTAGCGTGAATCAAGTTTGCTTTTTCGCCATGTCAATCAGCTTTAGAAAAGCATCTCACCCCGAGATGTAGTTTGTATCTTTAAATTTCACAAGACAAGTTCAGAATAGACATATCCAGTTTTACAATCATTATGGGCTTCTGAAATATAAAAGAGAAAATAACTCAGTAAACTTAGGATATATATCCATAGAGGTTCTTAAAAAAAGTCCTATTTTAGTAGCTGGGTGGCCTGACAGAACCAAGTGTTAACTGGTTTTTCCTGGACTATATTAAATAATTTATTCTTGAAAACATTTTAGAAGTGCACCTGCAACCTCCTCTCTGGAATTTTTAGATGATGCTCTCCCCCAACATCCTTCCCTCCTCCCCACCCACCCTTCTGATGAGATTAGATTTCTTAGGAGCCGTGGTAGTGGGTGCTCTTGGTTTCACACGGTGTGCATGTTGCCCTCGTCCATCCCATCCTTGGTCTCCTAAGGCCCAAGAGTATGGTGGCCTCACAGGGACCACTGCCTCATTTTGATAGCATCTCTTATCCCAAGTTATTGCTCACCGTGATCTCCTTGTGCCACCTCCTGGAACACGGGGGTGGCATAATGTATCTCCTTGGAGTGTCCAGTCCCTGGGCAAAAGACAAGGAACAGAGTTATTGGGCCTATAATTCAAGTCTCTGATCACCTGAGGGCAGTGGCTTAGCCCTCGCAATGGTGCGTAGCCTTCAGAATTTGCAGAGAGCGCTTACCATCTTGGGCTGTGGAAACACACTGCCTTGGTTCCAAGCCTGGCACAGATTTGTCATCTGTAGAATGGGAGCGATGTAAATTGGGAGTTAGTGGTGTTTGCGTCAGACTGGGCAGGCAAGCTGCTTAGCACAGTGCCTGGAACGTAGCTGGCCCTCAGTCAACACTGGCTGGGATTGTGTTCATTGCTGGCCAAGGGCCTGGGTCTATTTACCATCGAGCATGTATGATGCCTGCTTTAAGAAATGGTCATAAAAGAAGTTGGAACACAGTGCAGATCATTCAGAACTGACAGAAAAAATCTCCAAGATATGTTAAGTGAAAAAATCAAGAGGAAGAATGGCATATCTATGACATGCTACCATTGCTACCATTTGGATGCTAACATACACGTAGAGTATCTGTGGAAGGGTTTCAAAAGCTGGTTGTTGCTCCCTGGAAAGTGGAACTGGGTGTCAGGGATGGGAGGGAGACATTGTTCTCTATTCTTTTTCTTCAGTTTTTTACCCATGTGTCTGTATGAGCTCAAAAAAATAAAACAGACAAAAACCTAAAACCAACAAAAATACCCAACAAAGTTCTCTTACCTGCTTGGTTTTGACAGACATTTGCATATATTCCAACTTCCATGGGTTTATTTCCATAGTTTCTGGGTGCATTATCTCTCATAGCTTTTCCTACATAAATTGGTGCAGAATCATTAAATTAAACCAATTCAGCCACATTTTTCTCATCTCCTCTGCCAAGGTGCAGAAGTCCCCAAAGTTCTGAAAGAAAGGATGACCTGCTCCAACTGCCTAAACTGTTGACTATTGAAGGAAAACCATGGACTCAGCGAGAAGTCCACAGCACCTGCTTCTCCAAGCCAGGAGCCCTTCTGATTTATCTTCCTGGCTCTGCAAGTAACATCCTTTGCCTATCAGATTACGCTGGAGATGGCTGGAGACGCATTTTCTTTCCTTTGCTGAAAAGAACAGTCTGTAAAAAGCTTTGTAATGTCTGTAAGAGATAGTAAATTACCCAGCTGAGTTATTTAGCCCTGGCTAGTAATCGAGAATATTAATTGCACTTTTGCAAGAACTGGGCTTTCTGTAGGAAGAGGAGACAGGTTTTAAAAATGAATGAGATGTATAAATTTTGACATCTATTTTCAACTTTCAAGTCAACTCAGTCCCTTATGACTCTCTAGAGACAGAGGGAGGCACAAGGAGCCCAACATTGGTCACTTAGTTCTCTCTCAAGTTCAGATACACTCTCTCCCATGGCTCCATCATACAGGTCAGAACACTGAGGATCAGGCAGGCAAAGGAGCCTGCCCAGCGCCCCTCAGCTCGCTGGCGGGTGCTGATGTTGTGACACAAACTGTCTTTTGTGCAGATCTCAATATTCCTCCATTCTTGTGTGCCAAATGAAAAGGCCACTTTGAAATCATAACTAGAGGTGGTCATCAGGTGTGAATAGCGAAAAGCAGTCCCTGGGGCTTGATGCAGCGCTTAAGGTGGGGCAGAGGGGAAGGATGCTCTGTTTGTCTTCACGTCGTGAGCTTCCTCCCAGGGGCAGACCCAGTGAGGATGCTGAAAAGTACAAAGCAAAGCTCCTGCCTTTGAGGAGCTGGCAATCAGGACTCATTACATCATTGACAGGGTGCAGTGCAAGATGAAAATATGGGGCCTCTTGTTAAGAAATTATTAAGACTTGTACACCCATGTTCAAAGCAGCATTATTCACAATAACCAAAAGGTGGAAGCAACCCAAGGGTCCACTGACGGATGAATGGGTAAACAAATATATGTCTGTATCCATGTATCTATATATAAGGGAATATTCTTCAGCTTTAATCTTTTTTTTTTTTTGAGATTGGCACCTGAGCTAACATCTCTTGCCAATCTTCTTCCTTTTTTTCCCTTCTTCTTCTCCCCAAAGCCTCCCAGTACATAGTCGTATATTCTAGTTTCAGGTCCTTCTGGCTCTGCTATGTGGGACGCCGCTCAGCATGGCTTGATTGAACAGTGCTAAATCTGCGCCCAGGATCCCAACAGGTGGAACCCTGGGCTGCCGAAGCCAAGCGCACGAACTTAACCACTCAGCCACGGGGCCGGCCCCTCAGCCTTAAAACTGAAGAAATTCCGACACATGCACAACACCGATGAACCTTGAGGACGTTATGCTAGGTGAAATAAAACAGACACAAAAGGACAAACACTGTATGATTCCAGGATACGAGGTCCCTAGAGCAGTCAAATTCATAGAGACACAAAGTAGCAGGGTGGTGGCCCGGGGCTCGGGGCGGGGGATGGGGAGTTATTGTTTAGTGGGGACAGCGTTTCAGTTTTGCAAGATGAAAAGAGCTCTGTGGAGGGATGGTGGTGACGGCTGCACAACAATGTGAGTGTACTTAACGGCCCTGGACTGTATACTTAATGGTTAAGATGGCAAATTTTATTGTTATGTATATTTTACCAAAATTAAAAATAATTTTTTAAAAGAGTAAAAACAAAGCATTAAGAATTTCAAAACAGTGACAGCAGAGCCTTATGGGGACCTGTGTGACTGCACAGGCCACACGACCATGAGCAATCTAAATAAGAAAGGCTTTTACCAGAGAAATAAGTGCCAGCCCATGCGGGAACCGAGCAGGAAGTTGATTTCTTTACCTTCCCCTTTCGCGTCTTCTCCTTCTCTTTCCCTTTTCTTCACATCCTGTTTCTGATTCCCCTTTCCCTCCCTCCTCACCCTTTCCCTGCAGTCTGTACCCAAAAGGCATGGAAAAGCTCCTAAAGAACTTACTTGCTTTGTACTTTGGTAGTATCCAAAATGCCAGCATTAGGATTATTACTATCAGCAGCAGTAATAACCCCGGAAGCAGTAGCTGCAGGCAGAAAGGACAGCTGTCTCCGCCTGGAAGAAGACAGCATTCGCTGGTCACTGCGCAGCCTGCTTTTCAATGACATTGAACTGTGAGAGGTTCTGGAAAGGGCAATCACACTGTCTCCCAAGTTAACCAGTCACTACACACCTGGCTCCCCGCCCTGCGACGGACCCCTGCAACTCTTGAGAGTTGACTTGTTAGTCAGCGAAGCTCTAAAGTCATGACCAAGTACATCTTCCACAAGGGATCATACAAGGGAGAGAAAAGCAGCACAGCATTTAACAGACTGGTTACTGGCAACATTGTGAGGGTCATAAGTCTCAGTATGGCCTGGCCACTTACTAGGCAAAGCCCTTAGTCATGTTGGCATGATTTATGTCTCCCGAACAGCTACCGTTTATTGAGTATTATCTACATACCAGACACTGCGTTGAGCACTTTGCATGTGTTGCCTTATTTATCTCATTGGTATCACTGCCAATTTACAATGAGTGGAGTAAGGCTCGGAGAGGTTAAATGACTTTCCTAAGGTCACACAGCTTGGAAATGCTGTGATTTATAGGCAAAAGCCTGACTCTGGGGCCTGACTCTGACAGCTGCCTCACTTGTTAGAACTTACAGAATACAGGGCTGTGGGCTCTGTTCTTCTGAGGATGAGGGCGGGTGAAGTTTTCAATGCCCAAGCATACCTACTGCCTTTGCTAACCTAATTTTTGTTCTATTCTCTCCTCCCTCGACGGCTGGACCTTCATAAGGCCTGGAAGACCAGGCTGGAATCTAGAATTCTCAGAGTCCATGGAGTTCTGCACTGGAACGTGAGAGCATGGGGAGAGCCAGCCCCAGCCCTGGCCTGGCCCACTTCCCACCAGGCTCTGGCCTACACCTGAAGGGGCCTCACACGCACGTGAACCCCTAGCCTACACGTCCAAATGCCGACCACACCCCCAACAAACAGGTCTCTTGACTCAGGTCCAGGCATGCTCACATCCTCACTGTGATCCACCTTAGGGGGATGAACTGGGAGATAGACTTATGCAGGCCCTGGAAGATGAGTTCTAATCTGATTGGGTATTTGAGTTCGAGCACCCAGAGTGTGGTGTGGAAAAGTGGAGATATAGGATCCAGGAGGGTACATTCCCATGGTCCCCTGGACTCCTCAGCCTGCGGGAAGGTACATGGCCAACAAGCACCAGAGCAGCGTCCTCCAAAACACAGGACTGGGACAGGGGCCCTTCTCGCCCAAGCTAAGGGTGGTACTGAAGTCTAGATGCACCAAGCATTAGCAGTGAGGCAATAAACAGCCAAGCAGGCAGGTACAGGTGTTAGAAGTCAATAAAAAATGATGAAAAAGCGAAAGAAAATCAAGAGACCTGCAGCTTCGGGAGAGACGCGAATTCTACTGTGATTGCTTAGACCCTGGGCAGTGGAAGGGCAGGGGGGGAAGCAGGGTCAAGTTAGGAAGTCTACTACAAGGTCCATTCCTTTCCCAGCTTCTAGGCTTTTCTGTGGTTCCCTTATGGAAGAAAGCAACCCCATCAGAGTTTGTGTGGACCCTACCAAAGAAAAGGCATTTGGAAGCAGGTGGCCAAAGTGGAAAGTGGGCGGGCAGAGAAGTAGCTGCAGTTTCTGGAAGCAAATCCAGACCCTGTTGAAAGAGCTCAGGCACCCCTTACCTGTTGAGGGCATGGTGAAGGGTTGACTGTATTTTGCATGGTTGGGCAATCTGTTTTTGGCTTTACACCTATATTCTTCCCTTTCTCCGGTGATCCTCTCGGTTAAGTTAAATTCAGCAGGTTCCCTTACATTCTTGGAAATAGCAGGTGATATGGCGACGTCTTTTTCAAAGAAAGTGTAATTGATGGGCAGAGAGCCATTGTATGAGATGCAGCGGAGTGTTATGTATCGGGCTGTTTCTGTTTGAAAGGCACTAATGTTCAGCACTGGTGTGGTCACTGGGTCTAGAAAAATAGAAGTGTGTGTTAAAGGGATAAGCAGGTTGGGTTCACTCACTCAGTCAACAAACGTAGATTGAACCCCTACTCTATTCCTGGCTATAGACCCAAAGATGGATCCCTTCTTGAGAAGTCAAGAAGCTCACAGCCCAGTGGGAAAGGCCCATGGATATTTGGCTAACCCTGTGCAGTGCAGCATGAGCCACGTCCTGAGAAAGCCAGAGGCCGGAGAGCAGCTCTCTGCTTTAAGGTATCAGAGCACAAACTTGCCTTTCGTCAGAACTCACAATTTCTTTATTGTTGATAATGAGCATAATTTTGTCAAAGATTCATTTCCAAGTATGAAGTTGAGAGGCACTTCTATTCCCAATCCTTATAAGACTATAGTGTCTTTTTAGTCAAAGAAATCTAAAAATATTATCTTTTCTAACTGTAGTTTCATTTATAGAATTCACCTGTACCGTTATCTTCCACTTCCTCCCCAAAGCAGAAAGTAACCCTGACAAATAGATTCAAAGGAAATTCTCAACCAGAAATAAGTGGGTCTGGTGGGCTCTGTCAGATCACACCCTACTTCACAGGTGAATCCAGCCATATGATTTACTATAAAATTCATTAATAAAACAGTATTGTAGGAAAGGAAGGCAGTTGTTGAGTACCCATCATGTGACAGGCTTGCTACCCACATCATCTGTTTTCACTTCACAACAGTGCTACAAGGTGGATGGTATCACGCCCATTCCACAGATGAGCCAACTGTGATTCAGAAAGGTTAATAAACTTGCCCAAGGTCACACAGCTAGTAAATAGCAGAGCCAGGGCCAATTTCCAAGCAGATGCTTTTTTTTTTTTTTTAACAATATTAACTTGGCACAGAAACAATGAAACATGAAGACCAAAGTACAAGAAAAATCAAAGAAAATAATTTAGAGTCTCCTGGCTCCATCCCTCCCCTGAGCAGGAATCCTTGTGGCAGCATCCTCGACAGAGTGGTACCTGGTGATGATGGCCTCACAAAACAACTTTGGGAGTAGCACCAATAGGATGTTCTCCCTGCGAACTGAAATCTACCTCCTGTAACTTTCACGAAGGAGGCATCGAAACATTCATGAGGAAGGAGAGAGCATGGACTCCTCTCTGAGATGAGATGATTCAAACTGGACCAAGTATTGATATCCAAAGTGACTGGAAAGATGCAAACGTCCCTGAGAGATGTAAGGGCTAGTAAGGGCATCACAGCATCAGAGTGATCAGGGTGGGGAGTTGCAACTCTTCAATTAAAAAGTTATATTAAAAAAAAATGTCAGGGGCCGACCCGGTGGTGCAGCGGTTAAGTGTGCATGTTCTACTTCAGTGGCCTGGGGTTTGCCGCTTCGGATCCTGGGTGCGGACATGGCACCGCTTGGCAAGCCATGCTGTGGTAGGCATCCCACATATAAAGTAGAGAAAGATGGGCATGGATGTTAGCTCAGGGTCAGTCTTCCTCAGCAAAAAGAGGATTGGCAGCAGATGTTAGCTCAGGACTAATCTTCCTCAAAAAAAAAAAAAAGTCAAGGAGTGTTTTAAGGCTCATTCAGCAGCTCCCTTCCTTATAAAATTTTTCCTTTTCCCTGCCAATCACATGCCTACCCTCCTCACCTCATTGTACCCACCATGGCCGGAGATTCTCATCCAGAGTTAAAATCAGATAATGTGAGGGTCATACTACCTACCTTCTCAATTCATATTTTAATAATTGAGAACTGGAGATATATCCAAGCTATATCCAAATGAAATATCCAAAGTTGCACAGGAAGCAGGCGGGACACAGGTTCCCCGATGCCCATTCCATTGCTCCTTCTGCAATACCAGGCCGCCCCTTCCAGCAGGAGTCTGACCACCAGAGAATATTATCAGCTGGGGTGCTGCCCTCACATTATCTGACATCCTAGGACTATGTTTGCACGAGTTTCCCCCTTTCTTCACATTTCTTTTACAATTATGGCTCCCATTCAGTTTGTGCTCAAAATTGTCTTAAGATGGTTGGTTCTAATCCAGAGCCCGTGGCATCTGCTAAAGCCTTATGCAGAAATTTCCATCTGCAGTCTCATGAGCATTTCTCAGGGGAATTACCCATCATTATCACTGGACTCTTAAAACACTTATAACCCAAGAAGCTAAGAACCATTGACCTCTAGCAGAGGCGTGCAATGGAACTTTCTGTAATGATGGAAATGTTCTATGTCTGTGTTGTCTAATGCACCAGCCACCAGCCACCTGTGGCTACTGAGAACTTGAAATGTGACTAACAAGACTGAGGAACTGAATTTTTTGTTTCATCTAGTTTTAATTAATTCGAATTTAAATTTAAATTACCACATGTGGCTAGTGGCTACCATACTGGAGAGCACAGACCTAGAAAATCACTCAAAGATTTGATCAGTAAGTCAGGGCTCCTGTGTTTAGAAGACTCCAGGTACAGTGCACACATATTACCCAGAAGCCACCTCTACCCCTCCCAGGAGTCCATTATCAAGATCACCTTCACAGATGAGGCCATTCATGCTGGGTTGTGAGAGACTTGGGGTGGGAAGATGGGAGAGTAAATCTAGCAGTGATAAGATGTAGTTGGGTGGGAAGAGTGCTGGCCAATGGCCACTGCAAAGAGAAGATGGTGGAAAAAGCCTAAAGCTTTGAAGACCCTTGCCACTGGGTCCAACAGTGATTCTAAGACTTATTCGAATCTTCCGAGAAAACATCATTTTTTGCCTACATGATGAGAACTCAAATAAAGCATCTAGAAAAGATCTCTACAATTTTCCAAATTGTTGCTATAAAACTTTTTGTCTAAGACAATCAGCCTATTATTATCTGAAATAGCCAAAAGTCTTTGGGAGAGAAAGTGAAAAGGAATTATGAAGAATAAGGGTCTCAGGGACATACTTTCCAGGCTCCTGAGTGAGTGAGTATTCCCAGGGCAATGGAGAGCCCATCACAGAACAAGAAAGAATACCACAAATCACAGGGCCCCCGAGGAACAAGCGCCCTACTTACTGGCAAACGTGAAGCTGAACTCTTGACTATATCTTGAACAGTTAGAAACCTGGGTTTTGCATTTGTAGGGGCCTAAATCACCGGCTTCTGAGATCCTTAGGTTAAAAATCATGGGTTCACCTTTTCCATCCCAGGTTCCCAGGTGTTTCATACCCCGAAACATAACATAGGTGATCTGTAGTGATTTGTTCTGGTTGGAACAAAATAGAGATACGTTCTGACCCTTCATGATCACATCTGTTTCTGAATACACTTTCGGAGAAGGGAATTCTGGAAAACAAAATAACACAAGAAAAAGTCCTTGTTAAAATCTCTTTTAATAACTCAGTGTTGGTCTAGCCACATTTTGGGGGTCGAGGTGGGAGAGACACTGTTCCTGGTGAACTCTCCAATGGGGGGGCATTCTTTGCCTGCGTAGCCAGGCTGACCAGTGTGTGAGGAAGCCTCAGCAGCCACAGGGACCCCTCCAGTGAGAGACGGGAGACCTTGACAAGCTCTTTGGTGCCTGCTCCCTCTCCTGCCAGTGACAGCCTGAAGTGATCTCTCTCTTTTTTTGCTGTTTCCGGAAAACATAGTTGTTTAATTTAACTTATTTATTTTCATATATATTTTTTATTGAAGTATAATTGACCTACAATGTGATGTTAGTTTCAGGTATAAAACATTGTGATTCAATATTTATATACATTATGAAATGATCACCATGATGTCTAGTAACCATCTGTTACCAAAGTTATTAAAATAATATTAACTATATTTCCCGTGCTGTATATTACATCCTCGTGACTTATTTATTTTATAACTGGAAGTTTGTATGAAGTGGACTCTCTTAAGACTGGCTATGCTGACTTAGAAATATTAAAGTTCCAGGTTCTGTGACCAAACATTATGTCTGGTGGCTTGTTTTGTTCATTATTTATTTTAAATTTTTTATTTTGGGAAATTTAAAACGTAACAGTAGGGAAGAGAGTATAACGATCCCCTAGAGACCTATTATCCTGCTTCAACAATTATCAACTCATGGTGGGTCCTGTTTCAGCTGCCCCCACTCCCTTCCATTATTTCGAAGCAAATTCCAGACCGCATATTATTTCATCCATACATTTCAGTATTGAGAAAGAGGATAGCAGCCCCTGACAGATGGGAACTGACCTGGTGAGGATCTGACCTGTCACTCACACTAGAACACCAATACCAGACAAGGCCACTCTATGACCGTATTGGATAGAGACAAAAAGAAGTTGACTCCAGGGGCTGGCCTGGTGGTGCAGCGGTTGAGTTCACAAGTTCTGCTTGGCAGCTGGGGGTTCACAAGTTCGGATCCTGGGTGCGGCCCTACGCACTGCTTGTCAAGCCATGCTGTGGCAGGTGCTCCACATATAAAGTAAAGGAAGATGGGGACGGATGTTAGCTCAGTGCCAATCTTCCTCAGCAAAAAGAGGAGGACTGGTGGTAGATGTTAGCTCAGGGCTAATCTTCCTCACAAAAAAAAAGAAAGAAAGAAAGAAATTGACTCCATAACCATGTCTGCACACAGACAAAGATATGAAGATTGTCCAAACCTCAAAAACGGCCAAACATCCTCCCAAACTGGCTAATGTGCGTGACTGCTGCTTTTTTTTTTATCAGTGACAGCTTTAGCCTTGCTCTGTTCTTCTTGCCTTTTGGATAAGAATTATTAAGATATCCACTCATATCATTATTCCCACTTCCTAAAAGAATCCAATCCTGAATAGAGCCTGCAGCTTTGAATCTTCCTCAAAATCATCTAACACAAGTCCGAATCTTATCATAAGTCCCTTTTAACACACGCTTGCTGAGACGTCCTGTGGTTCCCATGGTATGCATTTTCTCTCATTGCCGCAAGTCAATAAACCCAACGTTGTTCAACCACACGTGTCCCTGTGATGATCTTTGGCTGGAGGACGCTGATAGTTTGTATCTCTAAGAGATAGGGACTCTTTAGTAAACACAATACCATTGTCATACCTAAAAATTAACAATATTTTTTAAATGTCATCAAATATCTAGGTAGTGTTCAAATTTCCCCAAATGTCTGATTTTTTTTAGGATCCAAAATGGTCCATTGTAATTAGTTGATATGTTTTGTAAATCTTTTTTAATCTACAGGCCTTTTCGTCTCTTTTTATCCCCCCTGCAATTGATTTGTTGAAGATTGCAAGTCGTTTGTTCTGAAGATTGCAAGTTCCACGGTCTGGATTTTATTGGTCATATTCCTATGGTTTTCTTTATCACGTTCTTCTGTCTCCTGTCCAGAGGCTTGATGAAATTCAGATTAGCTTTTATTTAGCAAGAATGCATCATAGCAGGTAGTGTGCACTTCCATTAGGGGGCACGTAATGCCTGATTCTCTCTTTTTGTTTCTTAGCAGGCTTTCACAATAATCACCCAGAAACATTATTTCCTTAGTGGTTGGAAAATGGTGGTATACTAATTCTATTATTCTTTCTTCATTCATTATCTGAAATAGTTATATAAAAAGATACTTGCCCTTGTCAACTCTTTGGTTACACTGAGGTACAGCTTGCATAGAAAAGGTAGGGTAAATGTGTGGTTCTCTCCCTATATTGACCAGTTTTGAAAATAATAAATTTATTTCCTAGCATCTTATAACAGTGAAATATTTTATTTTTTGTTTAAGAATCATTATGAACTCATAGATTTAACCATATCTGATTTTTTTTCAATCCATTGCAATTATTCTTGTTATTGTCCCATTTTTTGTCCATGGGAAGTGTCTCCAACTAGGCCTCTGAGTCATTATTTTTTTTAATTGAGATCATAATAGTTTACATCAATGTGAGATTTCAGTTGTACATGATTTCTTGACTGTCACCACATAAGTGCTCCCCTTCACCCTCTGTGTCCACCCCCCACCCCACTTCCCCGGTAACCACTTGGTGGGCGCTTGGATTGTTTCCATGTCTTGGCTATTGTGAATAGTGCTGCAGTGAACATGGGGGTGCATATGCTACTTTGGATTGTTGATTTCAAGTTGTTAGGTAGATACCCAGTAGTGGGATAGCTGGGTCATACAGTATTTCTATTTTTAGTTTTTTGAGGAATCTCCATACTGTTTTCCATAGTGGCTGCAGCAGTTTGCATTCCCACCAACAGTGTATGAGGGTTCCCTTTTCTCCACACCTTCTCCAACATTTGTTATTTTTAGTCTTGGTGATTATAGCCATTTTAACAGGTATAAGGTATTATCTTAGTGTAGTTTTGCTTTGCATTTCTCTGATGATTAGTGATGCTGAATATCTTTTCATGTGTTTATTGGCCATCTGTATATCATCTTTGGAAAAATGTTCATATCTTCTGCTCATTTTTTGATCGGGCTGTTTGTTTTTCTGTTGTTCAGTTGTGTGAGTTCCTTATATTATGGAGATTAACCCCTTGTCAGATATATGATTTGCAAATATTTTCTCCCAATTGGTGGGTTGTCTCTTTGTTTTGATCCTCGTTTCTTTTGCCTTGCAGAAGCTCTTTATCTGATGAAGTCCCACTTGTTTATTTTTTCTTTTGTTTCCCTTGTCTGAGAAGTCACGCTATTCGAAAAGATCCTTCTAAGTTCGATGTCAGGCTCCTGAGTCCTTTTGACATGATCCCAGTAGTCTTTGATAGCTTGTGTGTCTGTATTTTATTACTTAAAAATGCCAAGGGAAAAAGTACCTGTCATCAGAAAATCTAATACAAAAAAATAAAATTATAAAAGAATTAAGAGAAATATAGGGAAACATTTTTATATCACCCGGTAGGAAAAGCTCTTCCGAGTAAGACACACAAATTAGGAGCCATAAAGAAAAGATTGAAAAAATTGACTACCTGGAAGCTTTAATCTTCTCTATGGCAAAATTAAGACAAGTGATGGCCTAGAAGAAAATACTTAAAATATAAATGAAAGAAAGGATTCTTTTTATATACATAAACCAATGGCAAATGATAAGAAGAAGATAAACAAGCAAATAATATGAATAGATAATTCCCAGAAGAAGAAATGCAGATGGCCATTAAAAAGTGTTAGGGCCAAGGGATGGCTTAGGTGGCAGAGAGATTAGACACCTCAAAAATGCCATCCATCCCCTCCCACTCTTTGATCTGGACACTTAACATTTTCTCAGTCTTACGTAAGCTCAGCTTTAAGACAAGGCCTCTCCTCTCTTTCCAATCAGGTAATCATCCCTAAATTTCCTTTCGATGGGAATGCTGGAGCTTTCATGGCCAATAAACATGAAAAACATGCTCAACCTCACAAGTAATGAGGCAATTGCAAATTAAAACAACACAGGTATTATTTTTTACTCATCAGATTGGCACAAATTTAAAAACTGATGGTATCCACTGTTGGAGAGGAGGTGGGAATCTCACACTCACCCATGTGAGTGGTCACTTTGGGTGACCATGTCCAGGTTCAGCGTTCTAGGAGGGCAACTTAGCAGTATCTGTAACAATTCAAATGTACACGCCCTTTGATTCAGCAGTTTCACTTCTAGGACTTTATCCTACAGAGATGTGCTCACGTTCTCATGTGTCCACAAAGGATGTTTTGTACAAGGCTGTTTATTGCAGAATTGTTTGTATTACAAAACAAAATGGCACAATCAATGGGGAGATGGTTATATGAATTACGGCTGAGCCATATTATGAAATGCCATACAGCTGTTGAAAAAAGGAGCTAAATTTACATTCACTCCTTAGATCGATGGCTGTGATATATTGTTAATTAAAAAGAAGACAAGTCACAGAAGAGTGTGTTGACTAGGATATTAAAGAGAAAATGACTGTTAACAGTGATTGCTTCTAGAAGTAGAGAGGGGAGAGGGATTGGAGCAGGCGTAACAGAACTTTCACACTTTATATAGTGGCAACAACAACCTGGGCTAGCATCTACTGACGGCTCCCCATACACCAGGCACTCTGCGGAGGGACGTGTCATGTCTCAGTCCTCACGACAACCCTCCCAGGTAAGTGCTTTCGTTAGCCCCACTTCACAGAGGAAAGAAATTAAGCTTAAAGTGGTTGTCTCAGGGCTCTAGGCTGCCAGCTGGAAAACGGTAGAAACAGGGTTAAGACCACAATCCCGGTTAGTCTAGCTCTATGCTGATAAACTGCCTCCAAATATATATTCTTAGTGTTGGTTGAATTATTTTACAATGATTATGTGTTGATTTTCTCATTAAAATACAACAGAGAAAGAAACGTTTCGATGTAAAAACAATCTCAATATTTTGTCTCTGAGTCTCAGGAAACAGGCTCCAACTCCCTCCCTGGAATTATTTTATTTTAAACAGTAGGGCATGGAAAAAACTTTACTCTTCAGTTGTTCATCTAAAAGTGTGGAAAAAGTTATTCACGAGTGATCGTGTTTAAAGCTGTTCATCTTAGCATTTCAGTGAAAACGGTTTTAGCGTGAGAGAAGTAAACGAAACTCACCATTTGTTTTTTTCATCGTCTCACAATCCAGTGCGGCTGTTTGAGCTGAAAGGGAGAAAAGGAGCATGAGAAAACTCTTCTTCCACATTACGTTCTGATTTGGAGATTCAAGCCTCAAAACAGTAAGTGAGCCTTACACGTGAGCAAAGAAAAAATGCCAACAAACTGTTGCATAAAGAACGGTTTGTTCAAATGGCACCACATTCTCCCAAATGAAAGCGGAGCGGAGGGAAAGGAGGTGCAGCGGAACCTTAGCAATGAATCATTTAGAGAACTTCCTCTTTTTTGACCAAGTCAAAGAAATAGGAGTTGTGTGGACAAGCTTGACACAATATGACTGGTTGGTTTGACCAACTCGTGTTTCTCAGGGAGTTCTTGTCAGAAGAGAGAGACGTGTGTAGGGAGCCCCCAGCTCAGGCTGGCTGGGAAGTTGGGCAGTGGGAAAAAGAAATAGAAAAATATGACTGTGATATTGTTTTTGTGTAAACCCACCTGATCATCTCTCTGTGCATTCAGCCTATAGCAAAAGAAATTTAATGGAAGTTTGGGTTAGTCTTGGGAAGCAAACGTTGACTGTTTAGAGCAGACACACACAAACATGGCATCAGAAATACTTGACTGCGTTAAATGCTGGTTCCCAGGCCCCACCCTGGACTTACTGGGGATGAAACCTGGGACCCTGAATTTTATTAAGGGCCTCAGCAGTCTTAGAGTCTCTAAATTACAACCTGGAGAGGCTTATGATTTCAGTTCTATCCGATCCAGAATTCTCTAAGCGCTGTGAAGTGTATGTAGAAGGAAAGCCACTCATTCCGGTGTCACCGGTCTGAAGTGGGGAGCGGTGGGGGGCTTCCCAAGTAGAGGGAGCTGTCACCTGGCTGGGCCACTTGGACTACTGATTCTTGTTGCCACCAAGGGTTGGCCCTGTGGGTCTCACACGGTGGCCAGGTGCCCTCTCTGTGGGGAAGCCAGGTCCCTGTGCAGGTACAGGTTCTTCCAGGACATCGTCCAACTTCCAGTATGAACTCACCCCAGGTCCTCTTTGCTCAGGCTCCCCAGCTTCCATACTGTGGTGATCAGTCATTCCCAGTTCCACACCTAGCCCCCACTGGGGGTCTAAGCAGAGCCAAGGTCTGCTGCCATCACCCCCACTTCCTCCCTGCCTGGCCGCCACTGTCTGGAAGCAAATCATCCTATTTAGCCCTCAGTTCATAAAAGGCTTTTCTTCCCTTCTGACAGTAAACATTACTTCTCAGGCCCCTACTCTTCTAAAAAAGACAGCGCTCAGTGACTGACAGTGATTTTCATCTTGTGACATCAGTGGCAGCTTCTTAGACTAAATGAGAGGAAGGGAAAGAGCCCCACAAGTTTAATCTCTGGTGGGATGACCCTCAGTGCCAGAATTTCTGCTAAAGGGAATCAGAGGTTTTGTTTTTGACACTTTCCCCTTCGGCATCTCATCCGTCCTTGCTTGGGCAGAGGGTGGGGCTGGGGTCCTGAGAACTGTCATGCCTGGAAGGACCAGGGGGTTTTTTGGAAAAGCTGACGTGTCTGGGGCATTTCTGTGCATGGAACTTTCAGCTGACACAGGAAGCTTGCAGACCACAAAGACAACAGAAGAAAGCAGAGGAAATGCTACTTAACAGCTGTTAGCAAACGTTGCTAAGGAGCGTATTAGCAAGGCCCTGGAAGAGGACCGTAATGTGTCAGAGCTTACACAATAAATCAGAAGTGAAGTCTCGAATAAAAGAAAAAGTTCATCCATGCATCTGGTATGTCCCTTGGAACCCAAATCATGCCAAATCCACATTGCCATGGTCCACAGTAATTCACCATATTGATAAGATCAATAAGAATAAATAGGGGCCGGCCCTGTGGCTGAGTGGTTAAGTTTGCGCACTCCACTTCCTGGCCCAGGGTTTCGCCAGTTCCGATCCTGGGCTCGGACATGGCACCACTCATCATGCCATGCTGAGGTGGCGTCCCACATGCCACAACTAGAAGGATCCACAACTAAAATATACAGCTATGTACTGGGGGCATTTGGGGAAAAAATGCAGGAAAAAAACCCCAATAAATATAGTCATACAAACAGTAAAGTTAGTGTATTCCTTTCTGTTGTCTAAAAGCTTTATAGTTATAATCTCTTTTAATCCTTACAAAACCTCTATGAGGTGTACAGAGGTATTATTAAAAATATGTAACAACCAGTAGAGTAATATAAATATACAATTCAATGCATGGATCAAAAATTTAAAAATATATTCTACCACCACCCCTGCTTTCTCTCTAAATAAAACCAAGCCATATTACAAAACTACTTAACGAGTGATATAAATTTTCATGCAAATCATTATTTGAGTCATTCTCATAATTTCCAAAATTTTGTTGATATTTAGAAGTGATAGTCTTTCAAGACAGGGCTCATTTGACATGAGAAACTGCCTTGAAATTTTCCAATGAATTCCTTGAAAATTGGTGCCCATTGGATAACATGTAGCCTCAATAATTAGAGAATTCCTCTTCCCATCAATGATATTGTTCATAGTTTAAATCCTCAACCCCTGATGAACAATAACAATGACAAAATTTAAAAATCTTCCAGGCCTTATAATGCTGTTTGAAAATTTTCTATATCTAGTATTTCTATTATCTTACATTTCTAAGTCACAAAAATCGTTTGATCCGTTGGTTTAATTTTATTTATCCTTCCACAGAACTTTATAAATACCATTTGGTAAAGTGTCAGGATTTAATAAACATAAATGACTTTAGAAATCATTTACTTTCACTTTTTCCCTCAAACAAATGCATTTACATATAATAATTTATTTTAAAATATTATCATTTTTCTCTTGGAATTGATACTTTGTTTTCTTACAAGGAGCATGCCGTATTCCTTCATTTTTATAGTATCTTCCACTTCTCTTTCATTCATCAAATTAATCTTATAAATCTAAAAGTATTAAAAATCTCTGTTAGAACATCACTCATTAAGGATAAACCTCCCTAAAATGTTTCATTTTCCAAAGATTTTACCATTTCCATTAAAACGAACATGCAAGACTTCATAGTCTGCACAGCGACTGAGCAGGTGTAGGACCGCAAGCTTGTGAGGACAAGGTCCCAAAGCCTCCAGTTTTCGTTATCTCGACTCCCAAGTCTTGAGATATATTACTTAATTCTCTCTGACGTTTATTTGATGAAAGATGGTAAATAAAAAGTTTATCAGGACAATATTTCAAGTGATTGACATGATTCGCATCTTTCGTTACATCACTCAGAGAGGTCCTCGGAGGGTTAGACCCGCCTGTCTGAGGACAGGTTCCTGAGCAGCAGGGCCTGAGATGGGATTCTTGGGTATGCGCTTTATCCCGGGAATGATGGAAGGAGAAGGGAAGGAGCCTGGCAAGTAGGACAGGATGGAGAAGAAACTAAGCAAAGATAAGGGTTCAGCTGAAGCTGACCCACGGCCAGCCCCCACAGGGAGAGCTGGGGTGTGAGTTGTATACCAGGGCGTTCGATCCATCTTGTGGCGAGGGAGCTGGGTTTTTATACCCCCTCCTTGTTCAGTCATTGCTTTTGGGCCTGGCTGGGTGTCTGCATAGAGCCACCCAGGCATCTCTGGACAAGCTGTCCTCCTGAGAGGGTGAGCCACTCTGCCCAGTCTGGAGGAGGGGAGCTCAACAGCACTCGCTCGCCACCCAACCAAAGGGTCTAGGAGCAGTTCCTAAAATCTTGGCCGAAACTCCAGATTTCCCAGATTTCCTCTCTACCCTTGTCCAGTACTCCTACTCTGTACAAAATCCAGTAAGATTTTCGTGAGTCATTGAAACCATGTTTCTCAAGCAGTGACAACAGAATTTGGATATAGTATTTCAGATGTTCCTTCCCCTTTAAGAGATGCGCAAAAACCAATTAAACTATTTTCAAAGTGTTGGATTTTACATTCTAAGTAATTTTAAAGATTTTATTTTTCCTTTTTCTCCCAAAGCCTCCAGGTACGTAGTTGTGTACATTTAGTTGTGGGTCCTTCTAGTTGTGGCATGTGGGACGCCGCCTCAACATGGCCTAATGAGCGGTGCCATGTCCGCCCAGGATTCGAACTGGCGAAACCCTGGGCCACCGAAGTGGAGTGCACGAACTTAACCACTTGGTCGCGGGGCCGGCCCCAATATTTTAAGTAATTTTAAAATATATATTATGGAAATAGTTGAAGCTTTGGGGAAAATGATGGAAATTTTATTGCTTTAATTTATAAATTTTCCGAAATTTGTTTTCTTATTTCAATAGTTACGGTTTACAACAAGGAGTTCTGCTAATTTAGGTCATAATGATACACCCATGCTTTTTTATTCTTTTTTGAAATTCTATTAATTTAATGTCTAAAAATACTTAATTATTTAAAACTGTAGATTAGATTGTGTTAAAAATTCTGATAGAATTTTCTGAATATTCTCACTTGCTTTATAAATACAATTGTGATTTAAAATTTTCCAGAGTTGTTATTATTTCAATACCTGCATGAACAAGTTCAATGTATTATTTTCATAATTTTGTTCACTGAGACTGTAGAATTTATTAGAGCAATGAACTTTGCCAGAATATGATGACCATTCTGATTAAATATTTTTTTAATTAATTATTTTTTTTTTGAGGAAGATTAGTCCTGAACTAACTGCTGCCAATCCTCCTCTTTTTGCTGAGGAAGACTGGCCCTGAGCTAACATCCATGCCCATCTTCCTCTATTTTATATGTGGGACGCCTACCACAGCATGGCATGCCAAGTGGTGCCATGTCCGCACCCAGGATCTGAACTGGGGAACCCCGGGCCACCGAAGTGGAACGAACGCACTTAACCGCTGCGCCACCAGGCTGGCCCCCTGACTAAATATGTTTAGCATTTTCAACTTTCCACATTATAATTTCTGAGCCCTCTTTATTCACAATACAACTTCTGGGTGCTGTTCATATTTTTGTTATAACAATCAAATTGTTTTCCATTCCAGAAATAGAAATCATTTATTTTATTTGTACTGTTTCTTGTACAGTGTAAAAAAGACACTCTGAGCTGTTCTGACTCAGGCATCATAGCAGATGATGTTCCCAGCTGCAATTCACTATTCATTCCATTTTTTATTTGTTCCCACAGATTCTGTACTTGGTTAAATAGTGCCCCCCAGACTGCATATCCACTCAGAGGCTTAGAATGCGAGCTTATCCAGAAATTGAGGTCTCTGCAGATGTCGTTAGTTAAGATGCAGTCATGCTGGTGTCCTTATAGGAGGCAGCTTGGTGGTTCCTCACAGGGCAGGGCTGGCAGGGGCTCCTGTCGTGTTACCTGTCCTCCAGATGTCCTGTGTCCAGGATGGCCTGGGCTGCTGCTGAGAAGGTGGCTCTCCCTGGGCCCTGGAGTGATGTCCACTGACCCCCTGCCCTGCCAGGGAGGGGGCTGCTGAGGATTCAAGGAAGATCGGGTCGGTTCGCAGGCCAGCTGCTCACCTCGCCCTCCTTCTCTTGTTCTTTTTTTTTTTTTTCCCCTTAATAAATTTACTCACAAAAAATGAGATTGTAAAGGGTCTGGGGGCTGTACACGGGCAGGGGCCTGGGGAGCTTGTACACGGGGCCGGGAGACAAGGGGGCCTCCAGGTGGAAGGGTACTTTTTAATAAAAAAAAATAATGGGAGTTACAACCACCCCTTCCCCTCTCCCCGATTAAACAGACACAAAAATAGACGTCTCTGAGGTAAATGGGGAGCCTGGGGCTTAAGGGTGTTGAAAGGGTTTCACAGGTGGTGGGGCTCAAAGCGGGTGTCACAGGCCCCCGGGTGGCTCCTGCATCAGCTGGAACAGCATGTAGCCTTCACTGGATGCCACCTGGTCTTCACTAACAAGGCAGACACGAGAGTCATTGTAGACATGCCAACCAGTCTGGTATCGGCACAGGGCTGTGTAGTGGCCATAGTGGACCCCGCCGGAGTAGTTGTAAAGGACATACTCTGATCTGTGGGGCTTCTGGCTTCATCTCTGGCAAAGTCCCCTAGGCTCAGTCGCTGCAGTGGGAAGTCTACACCTATTGAACTTTTCTTGATGGATCCTCGGGAGGCATAAAATTGATTAACACGGAGCACAAGGATTCGGGGGCATCTTTGTACTGTCAACTTTTTGGTACTTCATGTTTTCTGCGACATTGGTCACACACTGGGGCATTCTCCAACTCCAGCTGTTCTTCCTTGGTGAAAAGGCTGAAACCATCCTGCAGAGACACCTTGCCCCCAGTGAATCTGTTCTTGGGGATGGACAGGGACAGGTCACAAAAAACCTCAAAGGTCGTGGAACGATACCCACAGGCCTGGCACTAGAGACAACTTTTCAACTGGCCCACAAACAGGTCCACAGTCTTGCTGTCCTCTTGCTCCACGTAACACTTCCACGTTAGGTTGGCTCGGTCATCTTCACTTAACTCAGATTCTTCTAGCAGAGCCCGTTGGTGGGGTGGAGAAGGGAGCTGGACTGTTGGCCAAGACTGACGGAGCCCGGCGGCCTCATTGGTTGATTTCAAGGTGCAGCCACTCCATGAGGAGCTTCAGGAACTTGTGGGCATCCTGCTGGCTGTATCCAGAGAAGGAGGGAACATGTTTCCAGAAGACAGCTCGTCATCCAGCACCATTCACAGCTTCGCAGGAGTCAGGGTGCCACGGAGCACCAATCACATCTGCAAAGGCTTCATTGAGCTCTTGGGCTCGGCCCCCTCCAGGCACCTCTTGCCGGAGGTCCCTTCACAGAGAGAAGTCCCGAAGAGACCCAGTGCTGCTCAAACACTGCAGCACAGCATTCAGGAAGCACGTATTTCCCAGATTTGGGAGGCCAATGTGACCAAAGCCCAGAAGCAGCATGTGGTGAGCCATCTTGTCATCAAAGTAGAAAGGCTCAGAGGGCCGGGCAGATATCACGTGGAAGAAGCCATGGGAAGCAGGGGGCTCTGTCCATATGCTGAGCAAGGTGGGGGGCCCAGGAAAGGCCCCGAGGTGGCGGAGAGAGGTGCTACGTCTCAAAGTGGGTGACTTGGGTTAGAGTGCCAAGCGGCTCAGCGCAGCCCCTGGCTTTCCAGCGCCACAGTGCCCTCCCAAGGCAGTCCTCATTGGATGCAAGTCTCCACTGCTCACAGACCTGGAATGGGCCAGGTTCGTCCTGGATGGGACAGGCAGAGCCACAGCTGGGGGCAGTGAGCCAGGAAGGGGAACTCCATGAGATGCCCAAAGAGGGCCTCTGGGACGAGGGCCTGAGGTTGGTCCTCGTCCTGGCTCCAGTTTCTTGAGCCGTTCCTCAGGGGGACCAGACAGGGGAGGCAGAGGTTGTAACGGGTTTCTGCGCTCCTTGCCGCGGGCCCGGGGGGCAAATGGTAGCTCGGATCCCACTCTGGGCTGGACATTAACAGGTGGCTCTCGAGTCAGCCCAGGTGGTGCTCAGAGGCCTGGGGCATTGTGGACATCACAGGCTGGACCTGTCCCCAGGTAGGCAGTGGGGGAGGCCAGCTGGGATGAGGCCCCAGCTCAGAGCCACCCCCTTGCACCCTGTGCAGCTCCCCTGTGGGCCAGGCTGCAGCTTTGGCTGCAGCTGTTGCCCAGATCTCTCCTGTTGCAGGGGCTGCCACCGTCCTTTTTGGTCCCGCCTGGTCACTGGTCCTCTTGTTCTTCCTGAGACTTGCTCCGTCTGTCCGCCACTGTGATTAGTGAGCTTTGGTGTTCATGCCTGGTCTGGGCTGGTGACTTCCTAATTGTGGGGCTCACCATTCCGGAACTCCATTGTGAATGGATTCACCAGGATCTTTCCTGCCTCTCTGAGTTTGCTGCGCTCTCCTCTAGAGTCTTTTGAGGAACAAAGGGAAAGATCTAGCACTTACTGAGCACCTCCTTGGGGGGCGGGGGGCGGGGGTCAGCCCATCAAATGGGCCAGCTCCCCTCATCCTCATAATAACCCTGTGAGTTCTGTTTCACAGATGGAAAAGCCGCTCAGGAAGAGACCTCAGTCTCCAGCCGGTAGAGGGAGCTCTGGGACACCGACCACGATGCTTAGCCACCCCTGGCTACGGCAGATTGTCCTCAGAACAGAAGACAAACCACCTCTGCCTCCTCCCCTACCCGTGATCACTGAGGGCCTACCCACAACGGAAAATTTTCTTTAGCACATGTTAAAACCTTTATTTCTTGGAAGAATTTGAAGTGGCTTCTACCACACCAGCCAACATCAGAATTCCTGTATTTGCATCCAGAGCTGAGCTGTGTAGACCTAGAATCTTCCCTCTAGATCAACAGGTGTGCAAAGACAGGCGTAGGGCATCCATGCAGTTTTGCTTGTAGTCATGAAAAACTGCAGACGCCTAAGTGCCCATTGATTAGGAGCGAGTTATTTAAATTACAGGAGTTCCTTACAATGGGATATTTTTTGACATCATATTTTTTTGTTAAACAGCTTTATTGAGATATAATTCACAGACCATAAAATTTAACGTACACATTTCAGTATTTCTTAGTATAGTCACAAAGCTGTACACCATCACCACAATCTAATTTCAGATAATTTTTATTACCCTGGAAAGAAATCCCATACATGATGAGCTATTTTGGAGCCATTTTTTAAAAATGAAATAGTTCTCTATGTATTTAAATAAAAATACATTCATGACTGGCAAAAGGTGCAAAAAAGCACATTGCAGAAAATATATAAGATATCCCATTTATTTATAATAGTATATATATACACACACACAACAACACATATACACACATGCACATATCAACACATGTTAGTGTTTTTGTATTTGTTCATTCATTCATTTATTTGTATATGCATGGAGTGCTATGTCTGGAGAAAAGGATGGGGAAGTTTTATTTTAAATACTTTTTTATATACTCTTTTTTTTTTTTTTGAGGAAGATTAGCCCTGAGCTAACATCCGCTGCCAATCCTCCTCTTTTTGCTGAGGGAGACTGGCCCTGAGCTAACATCCGTGCCCATCTTCCTCCACTTTATATGTGGGACGCCTACCACAGCATGGCTTGCCAGGCAGTGCCATGTCCACACCCAGGACCCAAACCGGCGAACCTGGGGCCACCGAAGCGAAATGTGTGCACTTAACCGCTGCACCACCGGGCCGGCCCCTGTATACTCTTTTTATGCTATATATTCTATACAATATTTTTACATCAATGCTATGTTTCTACTAGAAATAATAACCAAAAGTGAAATAAGCCATGACGGTGTCCAAAGCTGGTAAAGAGATGCTTAGGAGAAGCTGCTGCTGTCAAATTTGGAAATAAAAGAAATGATTTTTTGGGTGTCTAACCATTAGGTGGCACCATTGTAAAATTTGTACAGTGTCAGATGGCCTGGAGAAGGAACAGACGCTTGTTAACTGTTTCAGCCTGTAATGACTTATTTTTATTTTCGCTCGCTTTTCCTCTAAGTAACTTGAAAAAGAAAAAAAAAAGTTAAATCTCCCTTCAGAAATTCCCTACTATTTCAAGCCAATGGGGGTAAATGAAGTGAGCTGCTTTTTAAGGGAATTTAGTCATTTGATGAAAAATACTGTCAAATGCGTGCAAAGACTAGTGCTTGGGAGCAGGTTGCTTTCCCTCAGTCCTATAAAAATCCACCACTGATATCCTGATTTCCAGAAGTGCAGAACGCTGTCTGCTGCTTGGGAATTTTCCATAATTCTGAGCGGGCTGGGATTCCTACTTTTTCACCATCAACAACCCCTCCATTATTTTTATTTTGTAAACCTCATTATTGGGAAGATTTTATCCAAAATGGCATTTACGAAGTCGTCAATGGTTCTCCTGTCTTGTATTTATGTGTGCATATATTTGATTAATTAAAGTTCTTAACAGACAAAGGGACAACCATGTTAGGTTGACAGAACTCCAGCCAAAAGCTGGAAGAACTTGAGCTGGGTGGTAAGAACAAGGGCCCTGGGGTCAGCCCCTGGCCAGCCGGGGCGCTGTGGGTGAGTTACTGTAGCTGTACCAACCTCAGTTCTGAGCCACAGTGCATATGAATAAAAGGGTAACACACCAAGGGTAGTGCACCACAATAAACGCCAGTTACTATTATCGGTATTTTATTCAGCATATGCAGCCCCATCCTCAGGAGGCCACTTGGAATCTGTTTCACTGACCTCCCTGTCACTTACCCTGAGCACCCCCCATGGTGGGTGCTGTTGGTCTGGGTGTATGTCTGGGCTGATGAGGAGAATGCTCACAAGAGCTTCTTTTCCTTCCTGAAATGCCCCCATCGCCCTGTTCATATAGCTGGTGAGCTAAGCAACGGGATTCGTAGGTTTATAGCTTTACAAACTGTCCCTGAGCACCCACTGTTTGGGGGCGGTTTTTGTGAAATTCTCTGCTAGGGAAATGGTACTGTGGAACTAAAGAGCACAGAGTGGAATGTTCATGAGTCCTTTTCATTCAGAAAGAGTCAGTTTGCAGATCTCGGATGGGGTGAATTTAAGGAACAGATATCATAGTTTTGACAGTTGGTCAGAATTTGGTACCTGGATTGCTTAGAGCCAGACCTACCAGCAGGTGGTCTCATATGTATCATGGACGCGTGCAACTGTGCTAATTCTAAAGAGGTAACATTCTCTTATTGATTGCAAAATGCAATTCTGTAGGTAAACCCCACAGATATATGTCAGTCAATTTTATTGGAAGAGGAGAAAAAAGTTTCTCTCCTGTAGGAAGGAGAGAAGAAGACTTTTTCTCTTGGCTTAATGAGATTAGTGGGTGTGCAGGTGGGCGGGTGTGTACTGGGCTTGCAGTTCTTTAGATGGTGGCCTCCCTAAGAGCAGGAAAGTGGTGTACTCATCTTTGTAGCCCCCTGTTCAGCCTGCGCAGAGCAGTCAGTGCCCGCCCAGCCAGTAAGAGTTGAATTGCTGGGTAGCCATTAGCAAGGAGTGAAGGGGGTGGTTTTAGCATTTGGGGCACCCAGCAAATGGAGACCAGCTCCAAATTCCCAGAGCTGCCCTCCCGTGTTTTTGACCCTGAGGTCTTGCACTCCACATGCCCCAGGCCCCAGGCAAACAAAGTTATAGGAACTGTTTAGAAGATTTCCTGGGGCCGGCCCGGTGGCGCAGTGGTTAAGTGCACACGTTCTGCTTCAGCGGCCCAGGGTTCACGGGTTTGGATCCTGGATGTGGACATAGCACCACTTGGCACGCCATGCCATGGCAGGCATCCCACATGTGAAGTAGAGGAAGATGGGCATGATGTCAGCTCAGGGCCAGCCTTCCTCAGCAAAAAGAGGAGGATTGGCAGCAGTTAGCTCAGGGCTGATCTTCCTCCAAAAAAAAAAAAAAAAGGCTTCCTACACTGGTTACTTCTGTGGGTTCCTGTGCTGGTAGGGTGGTTTCTCTGGTTGTTGGTATTTTTTTAAGTATGCCTTTTGGTGAGGAAGTTTGGCCCTGACCTAATCTCTGTTGTCCAGCTTTCTCTTTTCTTTTTTTTCTCCCCAAAGCCCCCAGTACATAGTTGTATATGCTAGTTGTATGTCCTTCCAGTTCTTCTGTGTGGGATGCCACCACAGCATGGCTTGACGAGTGGTGTTAGGTCCACGCCCAGGATCCAAACCCGCAAACCCTGGGCTGCTAACTCAACCTGAGCATGCAAACTCAACCACTAGGCCACCAGGCTGGTCCCTTTATGGTTGTATTTTGGCAGAAATGAGAGTGGGGAGGGAGTGAAGAGGGTGTGCAGAAGGGAAAGCTGTATTTTCCTTTAAACATCAATATTGTTCTAGACACTGTGCTAAATTAACAGCTAAGTGTAATTTGCATACCATAAAATTCCCCCATTATAAGTGTACACTTCAACGACTTTTAATTAGGATTACCAGATCTTAACTAACAGGATTCCCAGTTAAATCTGAGTTTCAGATAAACAACACTTTTTCAGTGTAAGTATGTCCCATGCAATATTTGGGATATACTTATACTAAAAATATTATTTTTTTGCTTATCTGAAATTCAAATTTAACTGAACTGCAACTGTCACTACAATTTGGTTTTAGAACACTTCCATCATCCCAAAAATTCCCCCTGCTCCTTTGCAGTCCATGCCTGACCCTTCCAAATCTGAGGCCCCCCTGCTGGTCTGCATTCTGTCTCTAGAGATTTGAGGAAGGCTGTATTTTTAGGTGGACTCAGCTGTTACACAACTTAATTTAAAATCTAAATATTTGCATGAAGAGTTTGGTTTCATTTTTTCAAGCAAAACCACAGAGGAGACTGGTTACCCGATGTGGGGTTCAGTTTGACCTTGCCATCCGAGCGGCCTCTCGCAGGTATGTGGATTATTTGAATTGCTTGGTGTCCACAGAGCGCGTGGGAACCCAGCCGCACTGAGGCTGAGAGTCTCTTGGCCTGGCACTGAGAGTGGGGACGCTTTCCAGGCCCAGTCAGGGCAGGGCAGGAAGTTGGAAGGGATCAGAGGGGTCCGTTCAAGGAGACTGCATGTTACACCGGCAAAATGCTAGTCCTTGACCACCGGGCCCCAGTCTTTAAGTGACTTAGCTGAGTGAAATATGATGTGTCCCAATGCCTACCACTGTGCCTGGTACACAATTGGTAGCTGGAAAACAGCCTCCCATGAATTCAGAGTTCATTTGACACACACTGCTTAGCATCCACTGAGGGCTGAAGCATCTCCATCTGAGGCTATGTGTGAAAGATGGTCCCCGCTTTAAGAAAGTTAAGTCTTGGGGCCAGCCCGGTGGCGCAGTGGTTAAGTGCACACGTTCCACTTTGGCGGCCCGGGGCTCGCTGGTTTGGATCCTGGGTGTGGACATGGCACTGCTTGACAGGCCATGCTGTGGCAGGCATCCCACATATAACGTAGAGGAAGATGGGCACAGATATTAGCTCAGGGCCAGTCTTCCTCAGCAAAAAGAGGAGGATTGGCAGCAGATGTTAGCTCAGGGCTAATCTTCCTCAAGAAGGGAAGAAAGTTAAGTCTTCAGCAGGACTGTTTACTTGGCACTAACCGTGTGCCAGTGTTTTCCAAGTGCTTTGTGTGTGTTAATATTCTAACCCTCACAAACACTATAAGGCAGATAGTATCATTCTCTCCATCTTGCCTATGAGGACGTGGAGGCTCAGAGAGGTTAAGTAAGTCTCCCAAGGACACACAGCTAGTCCAAACCTCGAAGAGCCTTTTCTTACCACTATTCTGTGTTGCCTCACAATGTGGTGTGGTAAGTTCTGTGAGAGCCCAGAAAGCACAGTGTCTGAGCCACTGGGAAGGAGGGTCAGGCATCTCCCCTGGGGAGTTAGCTGACCAAAGAATCATGGAACATTCCAAGCAGAGGGAATAGCATATGCAAAGGTAAGAGGCAAGAGAACATGGCACAATGAAGAGTGACCAAGGAGGCTTGGGACAGATGACGTTTCAGAGCATTAAAAAAAACTAGAATTTTCCTTGGGAAAAATACACTGATTTGGGCAAGAGAAAGAGTCTCGGATGAGAGCCCTGAACACCTTCAGGAGCGACTTTCAGCAACTGTCTTAACTTGGCGAGTGGTCTCTGGCCTGTCTCTCTCCCTCACCGGGCCTGTTCTTCAGTAGTAAAAGGGCCAATAATACCCATGCTGTGGGGCTCACATAGTAGGACTCCGGATCGTGGAGGGCACAACGTCAGGTGATAAAATGGAATAATGTGGGTGGCATACACGGAAGAGCTTTAAAGTCGGCACCCAGGCACCTGTGCCCAACGTATGCCTTTAAGAGGAGCCAAAACCCCCTCCCTTCCGCTCTCAGTGGCAGAGGACTTTCGGCGTCGTCGACTCCCATCTGGCAGAGACCTCCTCTTTCTCCCTCTACCTGTGGTTCTGCAGGCTCAGCCTGGAGCGGCGCCAGGCACCC